GACAACCCGGTCTCGGGAACCTCCAGGGCGGACATGAGGCCGTAGGAGAAACAATGCGGGTTGAGGGAGATACAGGAGACGATCGACAGGACGAAAGGCGTCAAAAAGATGTTAAAAGTGGGTATTAGCTGAGAGTGTGAACTCCTCTCGTCTTCAGGATCCGAAACAGAGGCGGATGGCAGCGTGAGTGCTGCAGGTCAGCGGCCGAATGCACGGGAAGGCGAAGCAAGACAATCCGCCATAGATCGAGTAACAAAGAGTGGGAAGAGGATTGGAGGAGTCTGCAGGCTATAGAGCAAACGGGAATGGAAAGTTAACAAGACCCATGGCAAGGAGGTTGGTCTTGTAGTGACTAGGTATGTTTTTTTTTGGATAGAGAGCGTCACAAGTGGGAGGAAAGGAGGAAGGAGGGGGAGGAGAGAAAGAGAAAGAAAGATGAGATGAGATGATGCCAAAGGAACGGGGATGCGAGTGTAAGGCGGCCTTGGAGCGGAGAGCGTAAAGAGAGCGTCAGGACCAGAACTAAGAAGTGGGGAGAAAGCGAAGGGCGGTATGGTAATGGAAAACCAGGTATTGTACCTTTTTATTTCCCTTTTTCTTTTTTCGTTTTATTACTCTTTGGGCCAAGGATTGTAGAAAGAGATCCAAAGAGAGTGAAGGAGGGTGTGTCAAGGGCCCACTGAAGGTTAATGAAATCACCCGGCAGAGAACAATAGTCAGGAATTAATTAAGAGCTTTCAAGGGAAAAGAACCATTAATAATAATAGCACCTTTGAGAGGGTAGAAAAAGGCAAGGCATTATTATTAGTTTTTTCTTAAAAAAAGAACCACTAACTACACCCGACCAGTTGAGACTAGGAGAAGGTTAGGTACGAACTAAACCTGAGCATCAGCATACGGTACAGTAGGTGATTAGGAGCCATCCCATCCCATCCATCATACGAAGCTCCAATCGAAAATTACCACTGCTGTGTCGAATAATTGCCTAATGCCTACCATATGATATTATACTACAATAGCATTCTATTCTCGCTACTTGAAACCAAGACGATTTCCGCCACTAGAATCAACTCAATCAAAATGGGCAGATTTATTGTAAAGTCTTGTTGCATGCAAGATTCAAAGCAGCACCCGAAAGACAATCATCCCGGGAGACAAAAGAGGCGGAGAGAAGAAAAGGAAAAAGTGGGGAAAGATCTCAACGCAAGGCGAAGATCCCTAGGCTTTCATTCCTTTACTATGGCATTCCCAAAAGGGCCTAAGAGGAGAAGATGAGAGAGAGGTCTAAGCCTGCCTTTGAAGTACCATATTGCTAGTCATTTAGAAAGAAGTTCTCCTCTTTTCAGTGATCTCCAGTCACCGGTTCGATTGTCTAAGCTGGAAGACAACAGCGCGGAACAATGACTGTTCATCAAGGTTGATGAATGCGAGGGGGGGGGCGCTGAAGGTTAGAGCAGCCACTAGTCATGGCAATGTATGGACTTGAGAAGTCCCCAGCCCTGCCCTTTCTCCAGATGGTCCCCAGAAGGAGCGAGCCTGGAGGCCTGGAGAGAAAAAGCAGACTTCCCTTCTCGACCCTCTAAATTCGACAGTGGTAGTCAAATCCTTGACGGGCGGAGAAGGGATGCGTGTAAGGTACTCACAGAAGTTAAGCTAGGTAAAGCGGGTATTCGGGGCATACCGTATCATGCCTCAGAGCTGGAGTTACTGGTAATTTACAGTCTGTAATCTCGTATCATCAGTATTACCGCCCCGATCTGAATTGAATTCAAGAAGGTCGGGTTCTGGAACAATTGATCCCTACCAACGATCAGTCCGCAAGACAAGATGGATAGATCGCATTGGTTGATGGACTTTCTTCAACGACGGTCTTTTTCTTCTTCTCCTTATTCTTTCATTTCTTATGTTGCATCCTCCCATTGTATGTGTGTATGTGTGTGTTCATATGTGTGTGCAGGATCTTGAAGGAAAGCACCCTTCTGAACCTGTTTCCCTCTTTGCTCTCATGAAGCTCAGTCAGAAAGAATGTATGATCTCATCGTCCGGCGGTCGAGTGACTGATTTTTTGAACCTTTCTTTTTTTGACGTTTCCCAGGGCCTGAAAGCCTATCTTGGCGCACCAGGTGGGTTGAACTGGGAACCAATTTACTCGGTACGGAAATTGATTTACGGTACCTTACCAGACGTGCTGTGACCAACTCCGACTTGTACGACCCAAACTGAGCCAACTCAAGTGGTGTGGTGTGGTACATGTACGGAATGAAACGGTGCTGCCGGGAATCAAGGTCCTGTGCCTTGACTACTTTGGGTCTCCGTTGCTAACTCAGCAGGAGACCAAGCGTGAGTGAGCGTGTGCGTGCCTCTCTTTTTCTACGCCATGGCCATGTCTCCTGCCATCGGGCGCCCCACTACCATCGGACAAGAATGATAGGTCTCCGGACAATCCAAGCCCACCTTTCTGTCTGCCTGCCTTCGTTACCTATTGGATCATTGAATCGTTTTGAATGCTCCGTCCTAGGAAACAAAGGCTCAAGAGCCTCCTTGTTGTACAGCTTCATGGCCTTCCTTGGGTTTAGAATTTGAATGACAACGACGAATAAATCAAGAAGGACCCGGAGAAGTCAGAAGAATCCTGCACAAGAGTGGCGCGGGGCCAGATGCCGAAATCCAGATTCAGCGGTGGTATCAATTCCATGGGACCTCTTCTACGTCTTGGCACCGAGGGAAGGATGTTTGGCCAATGCATGTCATTGTATCCGGGAGCTATGTTGGGTGACACGGGGTGAAGGACATTACCGTGTAGTAATAGAGAGCAGAAAGAAATCACTATGGACATCGCAGTGGCGAAGAGGATTTTAACGTACTACTTGTGAGCCGGACAAAGGTAGGCAGAAGAACAGCCAACAATCCAGCATGGATGATGTTAAGTTGACGGTCACATTAACTGGAAGGACTGCTGCTCCCTCCTATTCAGGGTATTTGTTTCAGAATTGAGGGTGGTTTTGATTTCCATGGTCAATTGACGGACCATCCCCCGTCGTCATCGGCAGCCATCCCATGATTGATTAATACCAGGTACCAACGCTGTCACAGGATCACATAACCTCATTTGAATCAGTGGTTCAGCGTGACGGTAGATCATCCGCCGGCCAGCCTCGACCCTTTCCCACCCAAGCTTTTTTGGGTTTCGCCTCCCCCAAGAAAGTCAGAAGGGGAACCGAAAACACGCGCAACATCTCACAGCCTCAACCAGAAAAGAAAAAGAAGGAAGGAAGGAAGGAAAGAAGGAAAGAGAAAGAAAGATCATAAGTCTTCATATCATGCGGAACAGGTGGCAACAGTGACAGAGAATACCTTGGTACGGAAAGCACAGGTTGACTGATGGTGTTCGGACTTGAGATTAACTAGACGACAGTCATGACTAGAGGTAAAAAACCACACGAGTTTCCCCGTCGGGTTGAACAATCCGACCCGGGACCAAGTCACGGGGAGGGTAGAACAGGTAGCTGAGTGATAGGTCCGACTTCATTTACGGGTAGTTATATACTCTTACAATCGTTTGGCAGGGTAGATTGCAAGGAGGGCAGGCATGGTTACAGCCAGTAGCGAGTGATGCCGCATTGATTGATCGGATGCAGCAGTCGCTAGATCGCGGAAGCAGACTGGTTGGTAGACGGCAAATGGCCCTGTTAAGATCCCAGCCCTCAGTGTGCAGCATGTCGGCCGAGGCCTAACCGAAACAGACCTACCGGATGATCCTTCGTCTGAGAAGTTCTCTCCAGAAATCCATTGGATAACAGGTCTCCCAGCTACTAGTAATGGCAGTAGTAGTAGTCAGACGAGGGGATCGTGGTTAAGGCACGGCTGATCAAGACAAGAAAGGACGGAGTGTCAGATCGTAGGGAAATAACAAGAAGACCGCAAGAGTTTCATCAACGAAAGAACTATTGGCTCGCGTTTACCCAGAACCGGATGGGCCAATCTCTGATCATTCCGGTTCAGTAATGAAGGGATGGTTGGAAGATTAGCCACTGCCAAACTGCTAGTCAGTCCGGAGAACGGATAGCTGACTGATGACGGTTGCCGCCTTTCTTCCCGATTTCGGCAGCAGACGAGTTATAGGTTCAAGTTGGTTGCAAAGCCATTTCATTGACCGTGCATCTATCCCAAAGAGCAGGTTTTGGCTATTGAAGGAGAAGCAAGCTGATCCAGAAGGAGTAAATAGTTAGTAGTAGTTGAGCCCACTTTAAGTGCAAAGTGACTAAGGTCAGTACATAGAGGTGGGGAAAGAATGCGCACAGGCACCCGGACCTCCAAACCCTTCGTGGTACTCCGTAAATTGCCAACATTGGTACGGAGTAGGGTAAATGTGTAAACGAACCGACGGCGAGAGGCCCCGCGTGTAAGTACAGAGATGGTCCTGCAGGTGCGTTTTCCACATCTGCTTATAGTTGATGTTCGCACCTTGCTGGACAACTGGATCGTCCTTGAGCTGCGTGTCAATGATTGGCGAGGCGGTCCACGTGTGATATGCCTGCAATGCGAAGGAGAGGGCAAACAAAAGCACTGTGCCAGAGCAAGATGGAATTATTCGTAGTCTTTAAGGAGTTACTCGTAGTTCTCACTGTGGTAAGTGTGTATTCCAAAGGAGAGAAAGTGCCTAACGTTTGCCACTGCCGCCGAGAGAAACCATTGAGGGTAAGATGGGCCCTGCCGTGAGCTTTTTTGCCTTACTACTCGAGTTTCTACGATGCGTATCGCAGCAGGTAGACAGACACACTCTACGGAGTACCTTCCAGTCTTACTGTTGTTGCAGTGGCTGAACACAGCGCATTTACTTGCATTGCAATTTGTCTTTTCCTTTGCCTTACCCAATACCGATCATTCAGGGCCAGTGACGTAATAAAAGTAATCGAAGGTTGCCCTGCCAGAGATCGTGCCCTACTTCCAAGTTGTCATGAGGGGCCATATCAGTCGGTCTCACCGCGCGCCCGTCGCGGGTGTGGGCGCGCGCGTGTCCGGAACGGAAAAGGGTACTACGTACTCCGTACACTGCTAGTAAGCACAGTACTGATATCACTCGAGTCATTCAGATGCGCGTCGAATCGACGGAAACGTTCTCCAGAGATTTCGGTCGGTCTTTGTATATTGTCGTGACTGCTGGGGGTCATAAATCTTCTGACAGAAATGAAGAATGCGCCCTATCATCAAATGCCCAGCACAGTCCGGGTCAATATCTGTACACTAAGTACTGCACATCATGGATACATATCTATGCCATGTCCAGTGAAGTGCGCCAATCAATCTGTTCCAGTGTCTTGCCTACCGAAACAGGCAAATTATTGCCTAGCAGTTCAATTGAGCCCAGCTCAAACGGGCAATGCTCGAAGCAATGGTCCATTAACCCCAATGATGATGAACTGGCTAGCTGGCTGGTGGGCCTGATCGATGCGAGGGAGGGGATTTCCGGCCGATATCGACGAGAATCCTGTACTGTACGTGGTAACATAACAATACATACAGCTTGGAAGTCAGATACCTACATGTACTAGTGGTATCTCAGAGTGTAATTAGTACCATACGGTAAGTAATGAGTGAACGAGGCTCACCTCCGAATTAGGAGACACACTGCCGGTGCCAACACATCAGAGGCTGTCTGAGGTATCTACAACTTTCTAATTGTACTGTACTGCACCGCACGCAGTATGTGAACAATAGACAAGGTTTCATCTACCCAGAGGTCTATCATCCTCCCCGCCTTTTCCTATAGAGTCTCTGCTTGTCATCGTCCTAATGAAGAACAATACAAAATACACCAATCTGACTTATTTACTAGTAAATAGTAACCTACTGTATAACCATCCCGCGTTGTTAGTCGACCACTCACTCACCCACACCCCTTTTCCCTCCCCTAACCTCGTACCTGAAGTTCTGCAGTTCGCAAAGGAGAGCCGGGAGCAAGCAGCTGAAACGTGCCTAGTCCTCACACCTCAACTCACTTAAAAAACGCCCCCCTGTCTCATCATGTCTTCAGTGTTTTAGGGACTCGAAGACTCGAAGAACCACTTCTCCCCTCCCCTCCTTTTCTAATTCTATTCTTGAGGATCCGATCATCCCCTGTCGCTGATCAAAGTTCCCCTAAAGCCCACGATCCACGATCTAGAGACATCACTTCTTGGGGATCTCAAACAAAGTTGTCCCCCACACGGCCATAAGTTATCTTCCTTGATACTTCGAATCCTGACTTCCTGGGTTGTCGGAGTAGCAGGAGTAGTCAGCATACCGCGAACCCAGACTCTATAAATAACCCTCCTTCCCAGCCGGGCGCGATCTCCGCGGAAAGTCCTATTCCTATTGCCAGTGCTTGAAAAGAAAAAGTGAACAGCCACAGAATAACCCATGGCTTGCTACAAATCAGAGGATATGATGGTTCTTCTTTACTTTTGCGCTTGTAATGCTGCATAAACATGATTGCGATCGTTTATTGGGGGTGGGAGGTCCAAGCCTCACAGGGGGGAATGATCATCCCCCCCCCCAATGTTCAGCCTATCACCGGAGATTCTAGTATATCCTACATCTAGTTCCTGGGCTGCGGAGTACTGATTTGGATGGATGGTGAATGGACTTTAGGCTTACTGCGCTGTTTCTGCGCCTCGTTTCTACCCTAGTAAGCCCGGGCTGGTAACAACAGCCACAAGTTAAGCTGGCGGTAGGGACCGAACTAAAGACAGCACTAAGTTACCTGTACAGTAGTTGTGTTTCTTCAGGCAAGGCACTTCTCATCTTTCTTCAAATCTGCGCAAGGACAGTCGGGGTGTTATCTAAGTATAACCACCCTCATGTCGCCGATGTCCAAGAGCTACTCTACTACGGAGTACACTACCCAAGACTCTCAAGTGGGACCTTTTTGTACACGACAGCAATAGCTCAACCCAGGGTTCAAACCCACCATCATACCAGCCCTCCTTTTCCTACCGACACCAGCTAGTCAACTCAACCTAACTTACTGCGCAAGTTCACTTAAGTTATCATCAGACTTCAACAAGCGACACAGCCGCGCTACGCCGCCGCCGCCCCTCGCCATCGCCACCACAGCCCCCCTCCCCCCTCAGCACTCAAAAGGAATCCTACCTTCTCCGTACACTTTACATAGTACATAGTGATTCATGCAACCATTCAAAAAACGATCAATGATTAATCATACTAACCAACCACTTCATCATCTTTTTACACAGTACCTCAAGCTACGTCGACAACCACTGGCACTGGCAGGAGATCTCCCCATCCCCTTCTTCCACGCCTCCCCCCCCGTTCGGAACAATAACACCTAGGTTACCGGAGTGACAGACGGGACCTATAGTACCTCCGTAGTGGTGCGTTTTTTGTTTAAAAAAAACCTGACTTACCCTTCCAATTCGGTTTTCCCTTTCCGAGTGTGGAGACCTTTTTTTCGCCAGTATCCCCGAGAGGACGAAAAGGCCTACCCTCCTACCGGCACCTCCACTCCCCCCCCCCCCCCCCACTCTGTAACCCGTAACCCGTAACCCGTAACTCCCCTAGCTTAGCTGGTGGAGGAAGAAGGAACTCTGTAGACGTAGACGCAGACGTAAGTTAGACCTTTCCCAGACTTAGTGGGTGGCCCCATACCGGTGACTGACTGACTGACTGACTGACTGACTCTAGATACTCGTACGTACTGTAGTGTTCCGTATATAGGGAGCAGGGAGATAGGGGAAGGGGAGGAGTGGAGGAGTGGAGGAGGGGAGGGTCAAGGCCAAGCAAGCAAGGTTACTCCATACATTGGGGGGTCGGGGGGTCTATGGAAAGGGGGGGTTGATGCGTATTGACAGTCAGGTACGGAGTACGGAGGAGGTCTGTGGAGCTAACTGGGACTCTTGTATTTGGTAAGTTATCAAGCAAAGGGAGTAGGTTAACTAAGGTCATATGTACTGAGTAAGCAAAAGCAATGTTGGTAGTTAGTTAAGTGTTTATTAGAAGAGGAGGTACAGGCTTCTGGTTGAACTGGAGATGACAGTACTCTCCCTACTTGGTATGATGTCTGGACCTGGGATTAAGCTGGAATCTCGAATATACTTCTCTCTCCAGTGACCAGATACTATGTTGTGTTGAAGTATCTACAGATCAGCAGCTAACTAGCATGCTTCAGGTGCTGTGCTTTGGCTACCTGCCTAGCTGGCTTACCTACTGTATAACTTACTACTTAGGTCAGGTCCGACATGCTCACTGATTACCGATTTGGGAAAAAGTAGGCTGGCTTGGCGGTGCTGGAAGATCACTAGCAAAGCAAACTACACCGTAGCAAAAGCTAACCACATTCCCTCTGAGAGTGCTCCGTACCTGTGAGATTGACCTCCAGAAGCAGCAGTAGCTCGACGGCTCCAGCTCTGTCATGCAGTAAGTCCTGAATCGCGTCCCAGTGGCTGGCACACTCTCGGCTTCACCGCTTCACCGCCAGATGCCATGCCTCGGTGTAGGTCACGATGCGGGCGCGCACGACGCAACAACACCTGAAATTTTGCTACTACAACTAACGGTGAACCCTTCTAGGTCAGAAATTTCGTTATTCAATTCAATGCTTAGATATGCTAATGTAACACATGGATATCAGTACAGAGGGACTCAATCCCCAGTAGATCTACGTATATGAGCGTACGGCGCCTCCCTGGCTGAATAGCCATTTAGCCGGTCACCTTGAAGATGGACTCGGCAAGGCGCTTGACGTTGCCCGAGGTGATACCAGCCACGGAAATACGGCCATCCTTGGTGGCATAGACGGAGTGCTCCTTAGCCAGAACATCCATCTGCTCGGGCTTGAGACCAGTGTAGGCGAACATGCCAATCTACTTCGATGTTAGCTGCCATTCGACGTCCCCGGTATTCCAAGGGCGCTTACCTGGCTGGTGATGTGAGACCAGTCGTGCTTGCTGCCAAGCTCCTCCAGGTTCTTGCGGAGCAGGGCACGCATCTCAATGATACGGTCAGCCATACCCTTGACCTCACCCAGCCACTGCTGGTTCAGCTCGGGGTCGTTCATGATGGTGGAGGCGACACGAGCACCGTGGATGGGGGGGTTGGAGTAGAAAGGACGGATGAGGATCTTGATCTGAGACTCGACGCGCTTCTTCTCCTCGGCGGACTCGCAGACGAGGGAGAAAGCACCAACACGCTCACCGTAGAGGCCCTACATGTGAAGAACGCATTAGCGATGAACAACCCGAAACAAAACTTCCGAACATACCATGTTCTTGGCGAAGCTCTGGCACAGAGCGATGTTGTGGCCCTCCTTGACGAAGTGGCGGGGAGCGAAAGCATCCTGGTCAGCGTTTCCGCTGGCAAAGCCCTGGTAGGCCATGTCGAAGAAAGCAAAGTGACCCTTCTCCTTCATGACATCGCTGATCTTGCGCCACTGGTCCTGAGTGGGGTCGACACCAGTGGGGTTGTGGGCACAGGCGTGGAGGAGGATGATGCTGTTCTCGGGAGCAGCCTTGATGTCGGCAAGGAGACCCTCGAAGTCGAGACCGATGGTGTCCTTGTTGTAGTAGCGGTACTTGTCGACCTCGATGCCGGAGTCCTTGAACACGGCACCGTGGTTGGCCCAGCTGGGAGTGGGGAGGTAGATCTTCTTCGCGTGGGGGTAGAAGCGCTGGAGGAAAGCACCACCGATTCTCAGGGCACCGGTACCCGAGATGGTCTGAGTGATGACAAGGCGGTCCTCCTTGAGCACGGCGGAGTCGGAGCCATAGGCGAGCTCAGCAGCAGCCTTGGTGAAGGAAGGGATACCAGTGATGCCGGCATATTCCTTGTCCTGACGCGAGGCAACGACCTTGTCCTCGGCGGCGCGGACCGAGGGAAGGACGTAAGGCTTGCCCTTGTCGTCACCTGTATGAACACCCCGGATTTAGCTACTAATGCCCAACGAGGCCTATCTGAAGGGATGCAATGATGGTGGAATCATCAACGAGATCGGAATTGATGGGAATGCTTACGGTAAGCACCAACACCGAGGTTGATCTTCTCCTTGAAGCTGTCGGCCTTGAAGGCCTCAGTGATACCCAGAATAGCATCCTATGAACCCAATGCATCAGCGATGGCTACAGGAATAGCTCCTCATCATTGAATCACTTACAGGAGGACCCTGGGGAACCTTGGACCAGGCGGAGGCGTGTCTGGCACCGACGACAACGGTGCGCATGTTGGCGTCGCGCGCAACAGCCTGGCGACTGGCAACTCGGAGAGTGGACAACATTGTGCTATGTGATAAGGGAAACAAAGATGTTATCAACCGAGGGGAAGGGAAAGCGCCCAGGAAACTTGGGGGAAAGAGGCGAGACAGAAGAAGAAGATCGGAGCACAGATGATGAGCTACCGGGGAATGGGAGGGTATGGGGAAAGGATAAATAAGAAGTAGGAAGTTTAAAGAATGGGCACAATGATGTGTTTTATTTTTGACTCATGGGAACTAACTAGGGAGTTTCCGGGGAGCAACGCGGGCGAGCTCGGATTGGCCCTGCCCTCCGCACCTCAGCCGGTTGGGGTAAAGCGCATGGCCAGCCCTGTTACCTACTAATTACATAGTACTTCCTACCTACATCTGTTGTAGGTGATTATTTTCTTTGTGCTCATAGAGAATGCCGATTGAACCCATTCAGACCTAACCCCAATTGCATTTTATTGATCCCCTCATCCATTGTTGTTACCGTGGATGGTTCTGTGCGGAGCAAAGTGGACTACTGTACTCATTGTACGGATGCCGATGGTCAATCTGCAGCAGGTGCCGGGCCGGCCACTAACTAACTAGCTTGGTCTACACACAACCAGTTTAGAGCATTAGATTAAAGTGTGAGATTCGGTGGTCGGCCTTTGCCATCCTAACTAACATCGCCCCATTGACCATCAATAATGATGATATGATGGTGGATTGACGCTGGCTTCCCCTCTTCCGTGACCCCGTCCCGCTTTTCGGTGAACTGTTTGAGAAAGAAATAGCGGCTCACTGCATGGTCTGAGGCCGTCGACTTGCTGGCTGGCCTCGGATCTTCCCCTCACGAGGAGTTGGGGTAAATTGACCCTTCATTATTAAGACTTGCGCTTCCAGACGTGGTTCCAAGTGCATTATGTTACTATCAAGGACAAAATAGAAGGGCAAAAGATCAATATTAATTAGCTTTACACAGGCATGAGAGTACCTTCATGTTAGGTGGCGAGTTTTCTTCGCGGGCGGTGGGTGTATGTACCACTCACTGAGTGGTCGCTGGCCGGTGTCGGCAAGAAAACAGCTTGATCCGTCGGTTAAATTCCCCCACACGCCAAGTCTGACATGTAATCACACCACGTACTGTAAGCCTTAAACTATGGTCCTGAATACCATCACGGCACTTACTTCTGACCGCGGTTGACAACTTGCATCGAATGAAGTTGGTTACTGTAACTACTTGAATATGGTTCATTAAACAAATGCTTATTCCTCATAGCCCAGAACGAGCCAAACTATGCTATTTATAATGGTATAAAAGGATCTGTACATCTAGCATAAAGAGTGGCTGCGTGTTCAACCACAATGATCATCATATTAGCTCCAGCCGAAGGACTGGATAGAGCGACAGCAAAAGCAGCAGCCTCAAATCACCTCGTAACTTTAGCCAAGTCGTACACCGGCCTGGCGGTTCTTTCGAGCCGTTGCCCCCATGGCATTGTTCATACCCGTGTGTTGACTGCTATCCAAGGCGCTCATGGCTTCGCGCTTCTTCTCTTCCTCAATCTTCTTCAGCCGTTTCTCTGTCTTCATCTTACCACTACCCTTACCGTGGAACTGATGACTGAGATGCTTGAACGCTTCTTTCTGGTTCATCGCCCGGCCATGCTCGTCAACATACTTGAGCTGAACGTCGGGCTTGTACTCGCGGTTGAACACCTCGGCCATATGGCGGGCATCCTGCTGATCACGCTGCTTGTTCTCCCAGCGAGCATACTCCTCTCGCTCGCGTGCAGACATACGATCCAGCTTGCCCGATGCTCGATCGCGTTCACGCTGCTGGCGGGCTCGTTTCTCGGCTTCCGTCTCCATGCGCATCTTCTCCTGCAAGAACCGGGAACGGTCGCGTAGAAGCGAGTTGTGGTCCGCAGCGTCGGACGATTTAACCAGGCCACGTTGCTTAAGCATATTGAGTGTAGCACCCAAGCCCTGGTCCAAGGTTGCTTCCTCGTCCAACCCGGTGGTGCTGATCTGCTGCTGGGCCAGGGACTCTTCGCGCTTAATGCGTTCCTTAAGATCTTCCTCATCCTCAATATCATTATAAGTCCGAGACATATCCACATCGCCATCCTCTTCAGCCTCTTCCTTGATACTAGGGCCCTCGCTTTTAGCACGAGACTCTTCAGCCGGAGTGGTCGTCTGCCTTTCATGGCGTTCGGGAAGGGTCGGTTTCTGTAGGTTGGAGACGAATTCAGAGGTCTCATCAATCACGAGGCCGGGTTCTTCCTCATTCTCAGCGGGAGTTCCGGTTTCCATCGGTGTTTGTGAGCTCTCCTCCCGTAATTGCCGAGCAATATCCTCTGGGCGGGCTTTTTGCCGCTTTTTGAAGGCGGCGCGCCGTTGGCGGGTCAGGGAGGCCTGTAGGTCGTCATCATCGACGAACGAGACGTTTTGATCTTCCCACTTCCGTGGCACAGGGGCAGGAACCGGTATTCCATTAGTAGAGTCCACTTCCATCGCATTGTCATTCGGCGTAGCTGTCGACTCGGGTGTCGGGAAAAGGTCGTCGTCGTCCAAAACAGCCCGCTGTTTGGTGGCCTTGGCTTTCTTCTTCTTCGGCTTCTTGATCTTGATCTCACTGATATCCATATAATCGGATGTAGGGGTTTCCATGTCAAGGTCCAAGCTGATGACATTCTTGTTGAGCTTCTCGGACACCTCCTGTCGCTTCGCCTCCCGCTCTTCAGCAGTCGATCCCTTCGAGTCGAGCGTGAACCGCTTGCGCTTCTTGCCCTCAATCTCCTCATCGTACTGTGCCAGGATGCCGGTGTTCTCCGCCGTAGGATCGTACGCGGGCTTCCGCTTCTTCAACTCCATCCGCTCCGTGGCCTTCTCCCTCTCCCTCAGATCCAAATTCTCCAGCTCATCGCCTTCCTCCTCGTTCTCGTCGATCGTCGTGTCCTTGAGCGTCAGGATGTGATCTTCGCCGCCCCCGAAGTCCTCAATCTCGTGTCCAACCTTGATCCCGGCGAGGTCGGCCGCCGAATACTCCGCCGCCCGTTCCCGCTCCTCGAGCTCTTCCGCCAGCCGACGCGCCCGCTCCTTCTCGATCTTCTTCTGGCGCTTCTTGGTCTGCATCAGCCAGGTCTTGGTGTCTTCCGCCTCGGCCTCGCCGAGCGTGGCGCCCTCGAGCTTGGCGTTCCGTTGAGCCAGGTCCCGCGCCCGCTTGATGGCAGCGTTGCGTTCCTCCCGTTTGCGTTTCGCGTCGGCCTCATCTTGCAGTCGCTTCCAGTTGTCGGACGCCATCGCCTCCCGCAACTCGAGGGTGCTTCCGGGTTCTTCCCCTTCGTCCGCGGACGAGCCCGAGTCGTCGTCATGTTGAGCGCCGGGCACAGGAAGCGGCTTAAGGCCGAGCGCAGCTCGGACCTTGTTATGCTGCTCGATGGACACTGCGTCGGCCATCTTGAGGCGACTGATAATTAACCGCTAGAACAAGAAGAGCGTGAGCAGACTATGCGTAAATGAGACTCAAAGGTAAGGAGTAGGATGTAGGTGAGTGAGGAGGATAGAGATGAGTATGAGGTTGCTTTTTGGAATGGGAGTATTTCTTGAGATCACCGATCCATCGCAATCGCCGCCCATCCGGCAGGAAAGGGAAGGCGGCGAGCGGGCGACCAGTTACATAATCAGAGCCAGTCTCGGCAAGGTTTAGCGCCGACGGTTCTCTTAGCGCAGGCTTGGCGCGGTCAATAAAACCCACCCGCCAATTTTTGTGGTCGAGTTTTCTTCTTTTTCTCTCTTTAACACATCACGGATCTGTGTCTCAGCGATCCTGTTCACGAGGCTGAAGAGAGGCAGCTTGCTGTTTTTTTCTTCTTCTCTTGTGTTTCGGTTGATTACTGGACAGTTCGACGACTTAAGGAGCCACCACTTTTTGTGTTGGTGGTCTTTGGCATCCGGTCGACAGATCTCAGATTAAAGGTCGGCACTGGGTGTTCGCTCTGGTCTTGAGCTCCCTTGTCTCCGGACTTGGTGAGCTCGGCTGGAGTCCCCGGTTTGCTGACGGCGTCATATTCCTACTCTCTTTACCGATTATGGCCGTCGGCCGATGAGGTTAGGGAATAACCATGACCAGCCAACATTCCTTATATATGCCATAGGATTTCTAATGTGAACTCCGCGCAATCGTAGTCTAGCTGTAAATGATCATGATTTTAACCGTGGCTCACCAGCCCTGTCCTGTCTATCTGGGATTTATGCGCTATGCGCTATCTTGCAAGTGTGCTGCAAACTGTGCAGGTAGATCTTGCGGCCACAGTCTGTCGGCTCAGAAGCGCAAGACCGTTTCGCGACAAGAGATGGCTCCTACGCGCCTATACTGTTCCTCAACCTCAACAATAATGCTCACGACTTGAGGCCAGGCCAAACATAAGCAGCTTCCTGCAACGCCGTCCAGCCATCATATCACGCCCGCAAGGTTCCCTATATACTCCTCTGTAGTATTGTTTGTTCCATGGCTCTTCTCATAAATCCTCCCACCGGACCCCGTAAGCGATGACGAAGCCTCCCCAAGCAAGAAGTCTTCATCACAACAGCTTCAGATGACCCGTCACCCCATCCACAACGCTCTTGGGTCCCAGGACCCCCAACACCGTCCGGCTCCCACTGGCGATCTGCGTCCGCCCGGCATCCGTGATCACGCGCGCGCAGAGGCCCAGACTGATGGCCTGCGCATACAGCATCTCCATCTCCTCCTCGGACTTGACCTGCAGCGCGATCTTGGCCTGGCCCTGCGACTCCCAGCGACGGAGCAACGGCGAGTTGGGCGTGTGCGTCGTGAGGTACTTGTAGCACGCCAGGGTGGCGTGGGAGCATTGGGCGGCGATTTTGCCTGTGGATTCACACAAAAGTCATACCGAATCAGTACGAGGTTCAAAAGTCTCTCCGTATCAAGATCAAGGATCACATCGGGTTCGAGGGCGTAGAGACAGCAGATAGAAAGATACGCAATCAAGCACAAGGAAAAAATTCAGCAGCCTTGTTTCCAGGGAAAGGGAAGGGAGGGAAGAAAAGGGTGCATGTTCAATTCATCATACCCTTGGTCATTCCCAAATCCGTCCTCACAACCAGCACCAACTTGACTTCCTCAGCAGTGTTGTCGAAACTCGCCAGCTCGGACCCATCGCCCTCGTCCTCGCTGTCCTCCTCCTCCTCTTCCTCTTCATCCTCAAACTCCTCGTCGGACGAGTCGCGGTGCACCTTCACATTGTAGCTGTTCGGCCACCCTTCTTTCTCTTTGTTGGAGAAGAGGCCGAGCGAGGAGCCTTGGCCGATGAAGTAGCCCGTGACACCGGCGATGATGGCCGTGGCGACAACATAGGCTGTTGTCGAGGGGGCTGCGCGCTCGAGGTCGGCCATTGTTTGATTTTGTGATTGTTCGGTCGTAGTTTGGTGGTGGTTTGATGTTTCTGCGATAGGCGGAGTGGTAACTTAGCTAGCTACCTTTTTTTTTATTAGGTGCGGCGGGTGACGTGAGGCGGGTCGCGCGCAGTTTGTAGTTACTTATGGTTCCCAACCACCATCAACCCGTAGTCTTTAGCGGGCTCAGAATTACGACATGGAGCAATATTCCTTAACATTATATTCCATATTCTTTGCCGAAATTTACAGTCATATCATCCAAGAGGGCCAGGTGAACATTTCTCTCTACTGAAAATAGGAACCTAAGCCAAAACTCGACATACTCCAATCAACTCGACCGGTGTACTGCTATTTCATTATATATACATCCCTATCCACGAAAAAATTCAAGTGCTACCATCGTTATCTCATGAACAGCGATGCCTAGTTGGGACGGGCAGCAGGTCCAGGGTTGACACGGCGGCCCCTGGTTGATGCATCAGTGACTGCTGCTACTATCACAATCAACACCGGGAGACTTACATGAAGGTTCGGCTGAAGAAGCTGATGAAGAGCATGAAGAGCCAGCTCGGGATAGAACCGAAACCCCACATGACATAGCCGAGAGGAAGGAGAAGCCCGTTCTTAGCGAAGAAACCGTCGGTAGGGTGCAGGAGACCCACGTAGGCCGGGGTCTGCTCGAAATGCTTCTCGGAATGGAGCTTGTAGATCGTCTCGGGGGTAACGGTGGTCGTGTTCAGGTGCGCGGTGTGAAGAGTAGTGGGAGCGCGTCCCTCACCCAGCTGGGCCTGGGGGACCTCGAAGTGCCAGACCGAGGGGGCGCTTGCGGACCAAGCAGCGCAGAGAACCTGGTTTGCCTCGCAGTCCAACCGAGCAAGGTGAGGGGAGGTGGGATCGGCGGAGAACAGAAGAACGGATTCCTAATTAATGAACACGACATGTTTAGCGGCCATGAGCACGAGCCTCGGGGGGGCCCAATGTCCCCTCCCCCTAGAGTGTTCGAGGCGGTCTTACGTTGAATGACTTATCCGCTTGATCACAGCGCCCGAAGCAGGTCTTGTTACCACCGGTGACGAAGACGAACCAGTCCTGAGGATCAGAGGCTGGCTCCAGAATCGACTCCCAGTTGGTCAGGTTCAACTGCGTGACGGGCTTCGCCTGGATCTTCTTCTGCTCGACCACCTTCTGGACTTCCTCAACAGTGGCAGGCACAACTGGGGTAGCAGTTGGCAGATAAGCCTTGGCCTTGTCGAGCCAACCCTGGAAACGGTCCGCAAGGGGAACTTGTTCTTGCGCCAAAGCGAGCGCGGGGGCAAGGGCGAGGACCTGGATGAGACGCATGATGATGCTATAGAAGACGACGCGTGGTCAGTAAATTATCAGGGGAGGTGTATGGCGAGGAAGCTTGCTGCCTGCGACTGCCGTGGACGAGGGAGAGAGAATGAACATACATGGTCTGAATTATCTAATGCGATGAACGCACCCTGAAAAGAAACTGGATGGGGGTTAAAAGACCAGATGGCGGACAGCAGGCAGCGGAGGGAAACGGGCAACCTGTGTTGACAACAACAACTTGACGAGGTGAGGTGAAACAGCCACGATGGACAGACTGGAGACTGACAGTACGTACTGTACTGTACCCAGTAAAGTCTCCGCGACAGGTGGCCTAACTCTAATTGGAGCTCCCGCGGCGGGAAGCGGGGATTTCGCTTCCTTGTCTTTCTGGAATCTCTTTTGCTTCTTCCCCTGTCTAACTAATGTATTTGATGATTGATCTCGATTGATCTCGATTGATCTCGATTGTCAACAGCTGGCTGCGAATCTCTGGTTGTGTATCTAATGAGAGACAAATGTGGCTTTGTCTAATACCAAACAATCAGCGGATGAGGGTACCTACAGCAACCCAACAATGACATATTGTATTTCAACAGAACAAAGAGATACAACCCATAACTTTCAACTATGCTATTTCTCCCTAGGGCAATACGTACCATCTTTTAGGAGTAGTGCCCACTGGCATCTGACTCAAGGGACACTATCCTGGGAGGTATTGATGAGCTCAGCTTGACATCCTCGATTAAGATAAGAAGCATAGAATGAGCTGGAATTGACCATCTAATCTGATATGCTAGTAGTAGTTCTCGTAAATGGAGACTCAATCTGCCTGCATTTAGGTCGCGGCATACTTCGTAACAACCTGCTTAGAGCCTTCGCTCTTGCCAGAACCATGCCTCGCCCGTTGCACCTTCCGCGCTGATCGAAATGCGAGCAGCACCAAGGATTCAATGTTTGACTCTGTAACCTATCTCTTCAATCATCGCCAGTCATACTATACTACTAGGTATTCATTGATCTATCAATTGAGTATAGATATACTATCAAGTCCATACCGCACCGCTGTCAATCTTTCCGTGAACGCCTGTCAACCATGGCAGAAATTAAAAAGTGCTGTGCATGTTTTTTTCACAAAATTATTCTGGCATTTGCAGTGCTGGTCATGTTCTGTCAAGGCAACAGAGCCGTGGCAGGTGGTGATACTGAACTTGGTACGCAGGAGGTTCCATCAGAGTGGACATGTTAGCACCCAGAGGAATCTATCTAACCATTGTAGCAGTGACAACACTAGTCACCGAGTTTGCTTGCAGCCAAGCAACCCCCACGGCCGTCCAGAAACGATCCACTGCGGCTTCTCCCAATGACTTCCCTATCTGTACCGACCTGAATGGCCCATTTCGACCTTTCTGTCTTCCCAAGGATGGTACCGAGGTGACAGTCGATGCGACGTACTATGTGACTTGGAATGCCGACTTTTATCCTTTGAATGCCATTATCACCATCGAGCTGAGATATCTGAACTCCTCCGAGGGCGACTCGGCATACACATCCGAGAGGATTGACAACAGCTACGGCTATACCCATATCCACATGCGCGAAGATTGGCTTCAAGGGAAACAGCGGAATGCTTTGACACTCTATATCATTGAGCTAGATGCTGTGTCAGACAAGCGAGCCAGTATTCGACAAGGACCGACCGTTTTACTCCACATCCGACCCACGGAGCACCGCAAACCATCGCCCCAGCTGTCATTCAACAGACTCGCATTGTACATCGGTCTCCCCGTCAGCCTTGGGGTTGTGGTACTTGTGGTTGCCGGTCTGTATTTCGGGATGCGCGAGAGTAGACGGATAGACCTTGGGAATATCATCGGGTCTCGTGACAAAGGCTATGGGATCGCAAAGTCCAAGGAACAGCGCCTGGGTTCTAAGGCAGGCAATCGCGAAGAGTCGGAAACGTCCTCGGGGTTTGGAAGATACACAGATGACATTGACACTAGCATGTCGCAAATACTCCAGCCTGAGCATCACGGTGATCTAGAACAGAGTGCGAGTTTCGCATTCAGGCGGGACTCGTCTAAGCTCAGGAGCTGGAGGGTCTGAGCCTTCCCTGTCCGAGGCGTACAACCTTATGGATCATTTGACAGCGAACTGTGGGTCAATGTATGCAGAAAAGATCCCGCATCGCTGCGAGATTGACCTTATGATCTCAATCCGAGTCTATCTTGAAGAGACGGACCTCGATAGCTTTGTGTCTGATGTTCGGTGCTAAGTCTAAAGGAGGTTGGATTGGTAGGATAAGACAAGTGGGGATTATATATAGTTATCAATGCTTCGGCGTCTCTGTTTTCCACGCTTCATGCGGAAAGGGTGCGTGCAATTGAAAGTATACATCCAAGATAGCCAGCTGTTTACTCTACGCATCTATACGTAGCTGCGTAGTAGATACTCTGATCATTAGTAAAACTACAAGGTATGTACTGTACCTTGAAGTTGAGATATGACTCAAACGGAAGTTGCACTCCACAATCACAGGCTTTACTCCTTCCAGTCTAGCTCAAGCCACAGGACCTTCCAAGGTTTCCAACCTGAGGCCGCACAGGCCACCGGTACTGGAGAATGACTCGAGGATCCGCGGCCGCAAACCCCAACTGAAGGGGGGCGGGAGACGGTTACCACGTAAGCACGCTGACCAACAGGAGGCCAGGAAATGAAAATCAGGAGCGATGCCGGAGGGACCGGCCTGGCAAGAATGAGTCAAGCGACATGGCCATGGCCATGTAGTTACTGTTGTCTACCGTTAGTAACGGGCACATAACGTATGTCATTCAACGAAAGGAAGTGTCGGTTACCATGGCAAGGTATCAGTCTAGTCAAGTAATCATTCTGAGCACAGCCAATGGCATTGTGAATAGAAGTAATAGTTGAGAATTGATTATCAATCTTGCGTCGGTCGAGCCTGGCTGCCCGCCGCGGCCGACGCTAGTTATCAAGATGCGGCGCTATCTCGAGGTTAACCACCTGCCGATGTCGGTTGCAGCCCTCCCCAATTATGCAACCCAAATCCGGCCCTGACTGGCTCCAACTGATTAAGGGAAAACCCTAGAGGCAAACCCTGACTACATGCAATGATAGGACGCATAAACGAAGATCTGCCTCAGCTAGGTTTTCCATACGAAAAGCTAGTATTGACAGTACAATCTCAGGTACTTACTGAGTAGAACTGGCTCGCTCCCCAGCGTGGCAAACAGCCGTATAAACCTAAGTGACCTACACATACGTAAAGAGGTCCGCCTGGATAAGGAACCGGCCTTAATAACGATGATGACTACTGCATTTAGGCTAGACCCCATCGGAAACTGGAGACGATCCTCACGCTGAGCAATTGGGGTGGTCGGAGGCGCTGTGAACGGCCAGCCGGGGTCAGGGTTCTCCACAACCAGCCAGGAAGGAGATGGCAAAGAAATGGTCACCAAAGGTCTGAGGCGTACTTAGGTAGTTCCTAGTGCGAGTAAATTTTTCATCATTGCCGCAGCAGCAGGGGGGGTTCCGCCCGAGAAGAAAGAGTCATACTTTGCCTGCGACCAGACCGCCCGCTTTTTTAAACCGACTTGTAGCCTATGACTCTTTTCTTTGATTCTCTTCTCCTACTAGATCTCTTTGCCATTTAAACCCATCCCACCTTGACCTGAACCTTTACTGTTAGTATATTCCCGTTGATCTCAATTCTTTTAAGCATTTGTCGTCGTCTGACCTTGCTTCTACCACTCGCAGCTTCTCGCTATCATATACTACAACCTACCCACTAAACCTACCCCGCCGTATCCTTTCTCACAATGTGCCCTGGTGCAGACCACGAGCCCAATGGGCAGGCCAACGGCGCTGCCCCCAATGCCAATGGTACGTTTGAATCGTATCATCTGTCTCCCTCATCGTCTATGGAATTCCGAAGTAACATATCATCATCAAGGTGAACACCCCGGTTTCACCGGCATTGAGACTCGCCAGAACCCCCACCCCTCCGCTTCCCGCAACCCCTACGGCCACAACGTCGGTGTTACCGACTTCCTGAGCAATGTCTCCCGCTTCAAGATCATTGAGAGTACTCTTCGTGAGGGAGAGCAATTCGCCAACGCTTTCTTCGACACCGAGAAGAAGATCGAAATCGCCAAGGCCTTGGACGACTTTGGTGTTGACTACGTGAGTCATCCTGGGTGGTGGAAAGGGTCGAGCCGTCGTGGAGCTTGTGCACTGACCACTTCTCATAGATCGAGCTCACCAGCCCCTGCGCTTCCGAGCAGTCGAGAAAGGACTGTGAGGCCATCTGCAAGCTTGGCCTGAAGGCTAAGGTATGTTAGCCATGCCGTCCGCAGTTTCAGGAATTCTCGTCCAGAGCTAATGAACCTTAGATTCTCACTCACATCCGTTGCCACATGGACGATGCTAGAGTCGCCGTTGAGACCGGTGTTGATGGAGTGTAAGTTATTTCTAAGGCTTCTGCTTGCGCGACTATCTCCTAACGAGTCGACAGCGATGTCGTCATCGGAACCTCCTCCTACCTCCGTGAGCACTCTCACGGCAAGGACATGACCTACATCAAGAACACCGCCATCGAAGTTATCGAGTTCGTTAAGTCTAAGGGTATTGAGATCCGTTTCTCCAGTGAGGACTCCTTCCGTTCCGACCTGGTCGATCTCCTGTCCATCTACTCCGCCGTCGACAAGGTTGGTGTCCACCGTGTCGGTATCGCCGATACCGTCGGTTGCGCCTCCCCTCGCCAGGTTTACGAGCTCGTCCGTGTGTTGAGAGGTGTCGTGGGTTGCGACATTGAGACTCACTTCCACAACGACACCGGCTGCGCCATTGCCAACGCCTACTGTGCCCTGGAGGCTGGTGCTACTCACATTGATACCTCCGTTCTCGGTATCGGTGAGCGCAATGGTATCACCCCTCTTGGTGGTCTCATGGCCCGCATGATGGTTGCCGACCCCGAGTACGTCAAGAGCAAGTACAAGCTTGAGAAGCTGAAGGAAGTCGAGGACCTCGTCGCCGAGGCCGTCGAGGTCAACATTCCCTTCAACAACTACATCACTGGATTCTGCGCCTTCACCCACAAGGCCGGCATCCACGCTAAGGCCATCCTGAACAACCCTAGCACCTACGAGATTATCAACCCCGCCGATTTCGGCATGAGCAGATATGTCCACTTTGCCTCCCGTCTGACCGGCTGGAACGCCATCAAGTCGCGTGCCCAGCAACTCAACATCACGATGACGGATGCTCAGTACAAGGAGTGCACTGCCAAGATCAAGGCTCTTGCTGATATTCGTCCCATTGCTGTCGACGATGCTGACAGCATCATCCGTGCCTATTACCGCAATATCAAGTCGGGCGAGAACAAGCCCCTCCTTGACCTTACGGCCGACGAGCAAGCTCAATTCGCTGCCAAGGAGAAGGAGATTGCTGAGCAAATCACTGCTTAAGCCCCGTGGCTTGACTGCCTTTCGTCCAAATTGCAAGCGCCGCCATTGAATCACATCAATGGGATTAGAGGGTCGCGTTTTTAGAGGTTTTCCTTTTCTGTTCCTGTTCATGCTTGCAGCGGGTGGGTCTCTTTCCTGCGGGAAGATGTTTCCATTTTACTTTCATCCTCATGATTTCTACGTTTATGTGTCAAGGATCTTGATCTGGTTGTTATTTCTATGGGGGTTTTCAAAAAGTCTTCTTTGTCCCTGACTCAAAAAAGAAGGAGATTCGGTGTTGGGGAAGAGATTTTGGGTCCTTTTTGGTTTTTGGACCGTGTACATACGCAGATATCGATGTTTAAACTGCATTTCACACAAGATACCTCATGAGTGCTTGGGATAGACTATTCGGTAGTATTCGATGTTCATTCTTTGCTCTGAATCGAGCCGAGTCAAGCAAATAGTAAACGAGGAAAAAAGCGGTGGTTTTCGTATGCGGAGTCTGGCATGTGGCATGTGGAAAACGTTGAAGCCGAGGCAGCCTTCCGAGGGGCGGACTTATCGCCGCCGGCTTCCATTTCCTGGACCATCCGACCGAACTACACTGCAGTAACCGCCCGCGGCCCTTTCCTCTCTTTCCCCAGTCACCTTCGTCATCCTTTCGGAGGTCGTCCTCAATCGACTCCCTCCCCCCCCATCTTCTTATCGACTGACCATTCATTCATAATGGCATCGTCTGTTCTTCCTGTTGCCTTGCAGAACAAACTGCTTGGCTACAGCAGGGCTCCCAACTCGCAACTCGCAGCTCTGCAACTGGATGTGTAAGTTCATGAGATCATCTGCACCGCATTGCCTTTCCCCGCGTGGCAGCGCGGACAGTCCCTAGCCCATGGGGCAACCATCAAGCTTGTCCTTGGTTCCGGTCTCACTAACAAACAACTCAATCATTCGTGTCTCAGTATTCGGAATATCGTTTTCATTCTATTCATTCTCCGCTACGTTCGCAAGGCGTATCATTCACTCCGCGGCTACGGCCTCTTCGGCAGCATCCGCAATGTCTACTCCGCCGTCCGTCTCTTCTGCTACTCCGTGTTCTTGCGATTCCCCGGCGTTAAAGGCCAGGTTGACAAGCAAGTGTCCACAGCGATCGAGGGCTTAGAGTCGAAACTCGTCGCCAGCGGTCCTGGTGTCACCAGGTATCTGACTCTACCCAAGGAAGGATGGTCGGCCGAGCAGATTCGCGCCGAATTGAATAACTTGGCGAATATGGAACATACACGCTGGGAGGATGGTCGCGTCAGCGGTGCTGTGTATCATGGAGGGCAGGATCTCCTCAAGCTACAAGCGGAAGCCTTCGGCCAGTTTGGTGTCGCGAATCCCATTCACCCAGATGTGTTCCCTGGTGTTCGGAAGATGGAAGCTGAAGTTGTCGCTATGGTACGTAACTCTCTCCTTTGACTCGTGTGGGATTGTCAGCTCACGTATGTCATTTAGGTCCTCGAGCTGTTCAATGCCCCCTCCGATGGCGCGGGTGTCACGACCAGCGGCGGAACAGAATCCATCATCATGGCTTGCCTTGCTGCACGGCAGAAAGCATATACCGAACGGGGTGTCACCGAGCCTGAGATGTGAGTAGAAGCGCTTCGCAAATCATGTGTGCCCGTCGACTTGCTGATATCCTCTGAAGGATCATTCCCGACACCGCCCACGCTGCCTTTATCAAGGCTTGCAACTACTTCAAGATTAAGCTCCACCGCGTTGCTTGCCCGGCCCCGGACTATAAGGTCCATATTCCATCAGTCCGGCGGTTGATCAACTCCAACACTGTTCTTATTGTCGGATCTGCGCCGAATTTTCCTCATGGTATTGTTGACGACATTCCCGCTCTGTCTCGACTGGCGACCTCGTACAAGATTCCCCTACATGTCGACTGTTGCCTGGGCTCCTTTGTTATCGCGTTTCTCAAGAAAGCGGGCTTTGCCTCTCCGTATGAGGAAGAGGGCGGCTTTGATTTCCGTCTACCCGGTGTGACCAGCATTAGCGTGGACACTCACAAGTATGGCTTCGCGCCCAAGGGCAACTCTGTGCTTCTGTACCGCAACAAGGTATACCGCAGCTATCAGTACTTCATTTACCCTGACTGGTCTGGAGGCGTTTATGCGTCTCCATCCGTCGCCGGCTCGCGGCCCGGTGCGCTGATCGCAGGCTGCTGGGCTAGTCTGATGAATGTGGGTGAATCTGGTTACATCAAGAGCTGCCACGAAATTGTTAGCGCAGCGAAGAAATTTGAGTCGTCAATCAAGGAGCACTCAATCTTGTCGAAGAACCTGGAGATCGTCGGAAAGCCCATGGTCAGCGTCGTCGCCTTCGAAAGCAAGAATGACGCCGTTGATATTTACGATATTGCTGATGATTTATCCGCAAAGGGCTGGCACCTGAACGCTCTTCAAACACCTCCTGCTATCCACGTGGCTTTCACTGTTCCCACAGCTTCGGTAGTGGATGCGCTTACCAATGATTTGGTCGAGGTTGTTGAGAAGGAGCTGGAGAAGGCCGAGGAGAGGAAGCGGCAGGGCAAGTCGTATATTGTCAAACGTGGAGACACCGCAGCTCTCTATGGTGTGGCTGGTAGCATGCCGGACAAAAGCATCGTCAGCCGCCTGGCAGAGGGATTCCTCGACACTCTGTATAAAGCATAGACAGGTCTGTGACCTAAGAAAATTGGCATTGTCTATATAGTCTTGGAAACGCGAGAGGCAGCTCGCGCACGAACTCTTCGAATGAGGTCATCTCCTTGTGCAAATAGTTGATTTGCGGTTTGTCGGTGTCATGAGCGGCTTTTGCATGATTTCTATTCTTCCAACAATCGGGTATTATTGTTATCATGAGAAATCCACGCAGTATTGGTATCAGGCATGTTTGATTCACATGAACAGAGCCATTCTGTAGAACATGGCAGCAAAAGAGATACTATAGTACAAATGACCGGGCCGATGGAGGATGCAGAAAATTGACCTGCTAGAGCCACACACACACATTTTGGCTAGTGGAGTAGCCAAACCCGAAAATGAACCGCTTCATGCAAGAAGGACCCAGCAAGGTCCGGACTCGAGAGTACTCCTTCGAGCCCTCCTCGAAGAAATCTCCAATCCGACGCATGACAAGCCCGACCAGAGGTGCAAGGCGTCACCGTTGCAAGCCATTGCTGGGATATGCAATTGTTATGTCCGATTCCTTCCCCATTTCGATTCCCAAAATCACATAACCAGAAAGTTCAATCCACCCCCTTCTCCCCTTCCCCAGACGAACAGCCCTTGAAACGGAGAAAGGATTTGTGGTGGTCAAGCGTAGATTGGACACGACATAAGGATTAGAAAAAAAAAAGCCGCGAAAACGGGAAGCAAGCAGCAGAAAACGGGGCTAGACAGAACCAATGAAAGAAAAAAGTTGAAGTTTCAGGAAAAAAAAAAGAGGACAGCTTTTTCAAGCCGTTCTGTTCTCCTTGTATTCCGCCCCGGAGTACTTCTCGACGTAGTAGCCCGGGTCGGGCTTGCGCTCCAGGCGCACCTCCTGCTTCGTTAACCGCTTGTCCACCTCGCGGACCTCGACCAGCTCCTTGACCTTCATGATCTGGCCGGCGACGGAGGGCGAGACGGCGTGGAAGACGGTGGCCATGCGCTTCTTGAGGCCGAGGGCCTTGAGGACGTCGGTGGTGCGGCGCGGGAGACCGATGGCGGAGCGGACCAGGGTGATGCGGAAGTAGCTCATTGTGAGTTTTGTGGATTTGTTGTGGTGGAGGGTGGGGGGTTTCTTGTAATGTGTTGGACAGCTCGAGAGGGTTTATTTATACGAGCGTAGATGGTTCTCGGGGGTTGCGGAGTTTTGTTGACTGGTTATCGAATTTTTGGAGGCGAGGGTGGATAGAAGGTGGAGGAAGGTTTTGAGTGACGCGACTGCAATGATTTGATGCGGTAGGCGAATGCTTCGGAGTTTGGGGTTTTTTGTGTGTTTCTGTTCCAATTGCTCAATCGTAGCAAGTTATCGCGTGTCTGGAAAGAATACTGCTGCTGCTGCGCTGCGCTCCATCGCGATCGCTCCGGCCGCAAAATTCCCGATCTTCCGTCGGTCTGCCAGGCGGGGAGTCACGTGAGGCGGGCTTTCTGCCGGGGGTTCGAGTGGCTTGCGTCGGTCGGCGGGCGGGAATTACGGGGGAGGAGGATAAGGTGAGACTACTTAGTTACTCCGTGCTATCGAACAGCTTTGCATGAACAACGAGAGGGATTTTCCAGCTGTGTGGTAAGACTTGAGGATGAGCCACTGGTCAGTGTTACTCCTACAGTCTGTTTGAAAAGGGAGGGTTTTGATACTGATACTTGCATCACCCTATCTCATAGATTCCCTATAATTAAAGCGCTGCGCGTGTCAAGAGGGGCTTCCTCGTTCATTCTATACAAATCACCTGTCGCTCTGATCTCACCTTGCGACCGTACAGCCTTGCGGGTGCATTGAACTCCTACTCACGAGATACGACATATAACACAGAGATACTTGGTCTGAACCTGTATTCGACGTCGATATAATCTGCCTTCTCTTTCCAGCAACCCCCCCGTACCTCTCGGAGCTTGAGCCAGCTTCCCGATCGCGGCCCTTTTGATAATACACCTCTACACGGGCGTCTAAATACACATCACCTCCATTGAGAACGACAGAACTCCGACCGCAATGGCGCGAGGCGAAGACAACAATGGCACAGTGGCCATGCCCCGACTGGAAGATATCCTCCGGTACCCGGAGGACCTGGACAAGATCGTCGCCCTGAAGGCCGAGTATTCACGGAAGAAGGGCGCTGTCGACGCGCAGCTGCGCGAGGGGCTCCGGGACCAGCTGGAGTCCGTCCAGCGCAGCATCAACGCGCTCACCGAGGGCCAGCGGCAGGTGTCCAAGACCAAGGACGAGCTGCAGGGCATCGACAAGCTGTGCGCCGAGTCCCAGAACAGCGTGGAGGACTTCTCGCAGATCGACAAGCTGGCCAAGGTGCAGCGGAACTTCGAGGCGACGCTCACAATGAAGAAAGGGCTGGAGATGTTCAGCGAGAACCTGGCGGTGGTCGAGGATCTCCTGCGGGAGGACGACGACGACCTGGAGAACCAGCCGAACCTGCTGAAGGCCCACATGCAGATCTCCCGGCTGCGCGACTTCCGGGACGAGGCGATGGATCAGATCCGCAAGGCGCAGGACTCGAGCAGCGAGCAGACGCTGGGGGACTTTTTCCAGGGCCTGGATTCCGTAATCGACTGGTTCGATGATCATCTGGGCACGGCCTGCATGAACCTCATTCCGCTGGTGCAGTCGGACAACCCGGGCATGGTCGTTCGGCTGGCGGTGGTGGTGATGAACGAAGAGAAGAACGACGAGACGGTGCGTGCGCTGCAAGAGGCGCAGAAGGACCACCAGGACCTGGCCGATCGGTTCAAATCGATGAACGTGGGGCCCAAGACCGTGCGGGGTTACAAGGAGAAGTTCCTGAAAGCAATTGAGTTCTATGCCCAGAACCAGTTCGAAGAGGCTAAGGAGGAGTTCCTAGCCAACCCCGACAATCTGGACAAGAGCTTCCGGTGGTTCTTTAACGATCTTTACACGGTTCAGCAAGGCATGCAGCCGCTGATGCCGAAGAAGTGGAAGATCTACAAAACGTACACGAACATGTATCATCGCATGATCCATGATCTCTTCATTGGGATGATCAACGACCCGGAGCTGCCGGCCGACAACCTGCTCGCGATCATCCACTGGACGGAGAAGTACTACAAGAAGATGGCCAAGCTGGGCTGGCAACCGGCCGACCTCCAACCCAACCTGCTCGACGACCGCGAGCCCGAGCTGATCCGGCAGTGGCAGAACATCATCATCCGCGCCGTGGAGGACTGGACGCAACGGATCGCCGAAACGGAGAAGAAGAATCTCGTGGAGCGGATCCCAGACTCGCTGGACACCAATCCGGAAGGCTGCTTCCGGACCAAGACGCTGCCCGACATGTGGCGGATGCTGCACGAGCAGATCATGGCGTCGGGGGCCTCGTCGCGGACGGACGTCGTGGAGGGCATCATCGACGCCATGTTCGCGGTGCTGAAGAGCCGGCAGACGGCGTGGCAGGCGCTCGTGGACGAGGAGTGCGCCAAGTACAAGGCGCCCGGCGGGGATCAGCTCGAGGGGCTGCAGCTGCTGCAGGACTGGCTGATCGCGATCGCGAACGACCAGATCGCGTGCATCGACGACAACGAGGAGACGGGCCAGCTGGGCTACCTGACGCGGTTCAAGCGGGACTTCGAGACGATCGTGGACCCCAAGTACATGGCGGGGCGGGCGCTGCCGGAGCTGGAGGCGCTGCGCGACGGCTACGTCGACCTCAGCACCCACTGCCTCAACCAGTTCGTCGAGCTCATCTTCGCCGTCGACTTCCGCACCACTATCCCGGACTTCTTCACCCCGAAGTGGTACGGCGACTTCGCCGTCAAGCGCATCACCTCCACCTTCGAGGACTACATGGCCGACTACACTCCCGTGCTCCACCCCTCCCTGATCGACATCCTCGTCGAGGAGCTCTCCGACGAGCTCCTCGTCCGCTACCTCGCCTCCGTCCGCAACCGCGGCGTCAAGTTCCGCCGCCACGCCGACCCTTACACCGACAAGTTCAAGGACGACGTCCTCACCGTCTTCGCCTTCTTCCAGAACTACCCGGACTCCTTCGCCGGCACCATCAAGCAGAGGTGGCGCCTCGTCGACTGGCTCGTCCGCCTGCTCGAGGCCGACAAGGGCCCCGCCCTCGTCGCCGTCTACGAGAGCTTCAAGACCGAGTACTGGGACCTGCAGCTCTCCTGGGTCGAGGCCGTCGTGCGCACCCGCGACGATTTCGAGCGCAGCATGGTCAGCGCCATCAAGGCCAAGGCCGCGGAATTGTCGGTCGAACGGGGCATGGAGACGCTCATGAGCAAGGTCCGGTGATTTTTTTATGGCATTTTCTTTTGTTGTCGGCTTGCTCTCCCGGCCTTGGACAGAAAAGGGAGCCGGCTGGCAATGTTCGGTGGCATTTTCTGGTTGTCTGTTTCCAGCGTGGCGTTTTAGGTGTCCCGCCCGGGGAAGAGGGTTTTGGGTAATTGTTGATTCCTTATAAACCGCATTTATATAACTACAGAGGAAAAAGCAGGCTGCGTTCCCTCTTAGATCAAACAAAGAGCATTGGTCAGATTTTGCTTCTGTATATTCAGTTGTAGGAGGCCGGCCAGCAACTAGAGCTGCTGAGTATGGTATGTATGTCCTCTCAGATGAACCTCTAGAATCTACATGTACAAATACCCGTACGCATATGAGCCCATTTCCAACTAAAGCTTTTCCTTTCCCGGTCACATTTTCTCTTGTATTATCATAGCAAGCTCCTTTGCGCGATAACCTTGAGCATCATTTTCCGCGCTCTCCCAACCGGGGTGGACTGATCACACCGGTCGTAAAACCCACCTGGGCTGAGCTGGAGGGATTCTAGACGCACATTCTTGGCCCAGACGAAGGAATTGAGCTTGGCGGGAGGACTAGACGTCCCCTGGGCGCTTGCCGTGGGTTCCTCCGAGGGGTTCTTCGGCGATTCTTCCACATGCCAACCCTCGTAGCCATCTTCTCCTTCCTCCTCCATAGAACACTCATGGAAGACATCCAATTCCCACCGGAACTGCTCGTCCATGGTTAGCTCGCAGCGCGGCATCGTCTTCTCTTCGTCGAGATAATAGTCCCGAAAATGGTCGATGAGACCCCGTACGTCCACCGAGTGTTGTAGAATATTATCACCCACCCGGAAACTCGTGCTTGCTACGGTCGTATGAATCTGGTGGATTTTCCATCCTCTCTTGTAGCTTGGCGAGGGTGAGGGCGGGGGCGGGGGCGGGGGTGCGTTGCTTGGGTTGGAAAGCCGGGAGGCGTCTTCCAGTGATTCCTCATGCGAAGAAGAGGACTTGGTTACGGAGGAGGAGGAGGAGGAGGAGGAGGAGGAGGAGGAGGAGGAGGATGAATCCGAGCCAATTTCCACCAGGTCCGCCGCTGCGGAATCCGCAGCCAGCTCCCCGTCACTCGACGGCTCGGCAGGGGACCGATCGTCTTCCAGCCGGTAGGCCGAGATCTCGTCCTCGTCGCTGTGGTCGTCCCAGAAGAAGCCGGCTTGGTGGAAGCTCCGGCGGAGATAGATCAAGAAGTAGTGAAGGCGGAGAGTGGGATCGACGGGAACCGTGCAGAGGTGACGGGTTGCATCGGGCGAAGGGAAGCCCACCAGGCTCTCGAAGGAGACCGTGAGTGGTCGGGGCCGGGTACCTGGGGATGATGCCCAAGGCTTGTCTTGCTGCGAGGGCTCGGCGGGGATATACCCGACGTGTTGTCGGAAGGCCTCTTGATCCGCCAGGCGCCTGATGGCGTCGAGATCGAGAGACTCGAGGAATCGACAGGCTGCTTTGACGCGTGATTTGGTGTCCAGGGTCATCATCCCCACGGTCAGATGCAGAGTGCCGGGCGGGCGGAGATTGCGAGGCCCCAAAACCCCGCCTGGTAGATAGTTGCCAAAGGTGGCGTATGCCGTCACCCATTGCTGGAGAGCGCTGCCTTCATACACGGGTATCACGAGCATATGCTTTTTGCGGTAAGCTTGGTTCAAGCTAAGCTTCCGTTGGCTGACAATGACAGCCTTCGGTTCAAGGCGAGCGTAATGCCGGAAAGGACAATGATTGAGTGTGACCCTTGAGGTGATATACCTCCAGGTGGGCCGGGAGGCGGACATCTAGTATCGGTGTGCCGGGTGGTGATCGCTATTGATGAAACGGCATTGTAGATCGAGAGATTGGAGGAGATTTGGGGGAGCTGAGCAACACGGCCAGCATGATATGGGGAACTATCTCATCCAAAGCTAAGAGAGTGTGTGCGAAGATTCAACAGAGGGTGGTAGCAGGCAACATCCATAAATGCGAAGTAGAAGTAGGAACAAGTAAACGAAGTTCATACCTCTGGTAGCAACTGGAACGGTGCTTCTGCCGTCCGACCAATCCAATCAGCGAGCGAGGCAGCTTACCTTATGCCGCCTTATGCTGTGATCATTGATGAAATCATCTCCGCTTTTCCCCCCATTCTTTCCATTTCTCCATTCTCCATTCTCCATTCTTAATCGGTAGTGCTCTCTTTTGCACTGCACTTCAATCCTCTTGCTCATTTCGTCTCTTGTCCGTCTTGCTTTTCCGTCTAGTAATTCCCACCCAAAGACAATCCAATCCAAACCAACTAAACCATCATCAACCATGTACTCTCGAGCCTCCCGGGCCATCGTGGCCGCCGTCGCTCGTCCAGCTCTCCGCACCGGCGCCGGTGCTCACCTCGCCCCAGCAGCAGCAGCAGTTGCTTCCCTTTCCTCGCAACCCCCAGCTTCCACTTCTACAACTCGATTCCTCCTTCCGCAACGAAGCTTCCACTCCACCCCCTCCACCCGCAAAGGCATCTTCCCGGACTCCGCCGACCCCGCGGCCCCGAACCCGCAATCGCACAATGTCGCCGGCGCCGCCGCCCATGTCTCGGAGCCGTCCCCATTGACCGATGGGCAGTACCATGACTACGCCGAGCACTACCTGAACACCGTTCTCGAGGAGGTGGAATCTCGTCAGGAGGAGGGCTCGGAGATTGAGGCCGAATATAGTGTGCGTTGTGGCCCTGTCCCCCACCCTTTACCGCTGCCACCAGCCACGCTTCCAAGCTAACATTCTGCCTGTGTATGTGTCGGGCTAGGCCGGAGTCATGAACGTCACCGTCCCCGGTGTCGGTGTATACGTGCTCAACAAGCAGCCCCCCAACAAGCAGATCTGGCTGAGTTCGCCCATCTCCGGCCCCAAGCGGTTCGATTGGGTGCTCGAGGGCGACCAGATGCATGAGAAGCAGGACTCCCGGCCGTTCGCCAATGGGCAGTGGATCTATCTGCGCGATGGCACGAATCTGACCGATCTGTTGAACCATGAATTGACCTTGAACTTGCCGAAGGATATCTACAGTGAGTTGGATTAGGGGAACGGTTGTATTATCGGGAATATACGGATTGTTCGTGGCTCTGAAGGAATGATTTTACTGGGTGGTGTTTTGTGACTATAAGAAAGGAGTCATGTAAATTTATTGACTGCGCTAGGGAGAATTTCTGGAGACTTGTGCTTTTTGTGATTGCGACTGTCAAGGAACCGCTAGACCAATTTATATAGGGTTCGAGATGGGTTGGGTTGGTCTGCTTGCTGCGCAGGTCTGTAGGCTTCCAAGTGTATGCTAGGTACTTGCTCTCCAAGCCAATGAATGGCATGTGATTGGCTTGTCGCGACCAACTTGTGGTTGAGAGATTTGCACAGGACTAGAGGGTAGTTCAGCGTCGCGCCACCCAGTGTTTGCGACTGGGACTGGGACTGGCGACCCGCGGTGCGTAGGTCAATGAGTGTCCACGCTGGGACGGGTCAAAGGTGTGGTGGACCCAACCCAGTCGGGACTGCCCACAGTCATGGGTGGCAGCTGAGCCCATCCAACCCATCCCCAGAACAACCGAGCGAGTGTAAGCCCTACACGTCTAACGACGCTCGGTTCAGATATGACCATACCCCGATCTCCTCACGCACCACCTCAGCATCGAACTCAAGCCCATATGATTCACGGAACCTGAGACCGACAAGCCCATTCCATCCCACGCAGCCAAAATCCCCCCCCTTTCTTCCTGAATCTCGACTCGAAACCAATCGCAGTCCACCAGACAAGGAAGAAAACGAAGGCCTAAGCAAGCCCTAATTCCACTGATGGGATTACTATTTTTCCCCCGGAAAACTTCAAGCCTGAACAGCAACCGCGCCAGCGGACCCGTTCTTATCGTCGTCCTTGACGAGATCAGCCTGCATGGAGAGAAGAATACAAATTAGCCACACGTCCGCAAGCCCACAAGCCCACAAGCAAAAAAACTCACCTCATCGAAAATCACCCGGATCATCAGACTGCAGCTAGGACAGACGGCGATGTCCTCGCCGTCGCGGAGGTTGTCGATCGCGATCTCGAACCGGTCGCCACACGGGCACGGGTAGTGGTAGATCTGCAGGTTGGGGTCGAAGGTCATGTCTTCGATTTCGATTTCGTCGTAGATGGAGATCGCGTCGTCGGCCATTTTCGATTTGGAGGTTGTGTGGACAGAAGTTGTGAGTGGGTTGGGGTTTTGTTTGGACTGGTATCAATTCTCTGGGGGGAAGGGAGTGAAATCGTTCAGATTGGAGATTAAAGTTATTTGGTTTGACTGAGTAGTTTATCGCAAAGGGAAAACTTTTGGCGGGACCGGACCGAGTCAGGTGATTGATTGATTGCGGGGTGGCTGATTGGTTATCGTCAGGTACAGTAACGTTACATCGGCCATCACCGGGGACCACTAAGTGTACCTGAGTATCACTACTAGACTACTGTTGACATCTTCCCAGACAAGAGATGAGACTGGCATACGTAGCATTGGCAAATCATATGAAATAGGGTATCATGTCAAACTGTCATCAAGCATCACTTTATCGCAACTCGTCCATCTGCCGTGCCTCGCCTCTCACCTTCTCCACCTCTCGAATCAGGGTCCAGTATCGACAGTAAATCTCTTGCATGGTTTCGGGCCCGGAGCGCATTGTATCTTCAGACGCGCCCTCCTCTCGATCGGATCCTTCCTCTGCCACAAGACCATACGCTCTCAACTCCTCCAATGCTTCCGTACGCCTCTCTTCCAGACGCTCCCGCGTATCCTCAAGATGATCCCAGTACCGACCAAGCGCCGCAACAACCTCCGGGGTATGGATCGAGGCCGAAATCTCCAGCTTCATAACACTAATATATCAGAGCAAGTTGACAGTCAGTCACGGCCTCCATTTCCTCCAGAGGCATCAATCGAGCCCTCATGGGAAGGAAGAAACAGAAGGAGAACAGAATGACCATACCTGAGCCTGCCTTCCAGCCCCTGCGCGACCGTGGCCAAATGCTCTGCCTTGGCCTTCGTGGCCCGCGCGAATGCCCCATGTTTCGCCCGTTCCAGAAGCATCACCGTCCGTTCTAGCACCGCGGCCCGCGTCGCCAGAACTTCGGCAGCTGTCGCAGCCATGCGGGTCCGCGCTGCGGGTAATTCGCTCAGTTGTCTGTGGCGCAGGGCCTGGATGCGCTTGTCCAGCCGCGAGGAGAGAGTGATCTGCTGCGCTGCGGTTCTTCTGGTGCCGGTTGTTGTCTGACGCGTGCGGGCGCGGGTACGAGGACCTTCCGCGGGGGAAGCGGCGGCGGCCGATGCATCTGAGTCGGTTCCTGCGTCTGTGATTGCGCGTAGATCATCGAGATCGGCCAGCAATATGCGGGAAAGAGGCTCAGCAAGGTCGGGGAGGCTGGAGTAGAATAGGTCGATGTCTGGAGTGAGGAGTTGGAGGGTGTCGGTGTCGGTGTCGGGTTGGTCGTCGTGGTCCGCAGGAAGGTTGATCACATCGGGGCGAGATTCGAGGTAGAGGTATACGATGGCTGCGGGGTCTCGACACTTGTTCGAGAAACGAGTATCCACAGTTGCATGTCAGTTGGCGCCTGATGGCAACACGCAGCCAGCGGCATGCTTAGGGGTATCCGCTCCCTTACCTCGTCGGGAAGCTCGCTATCGGGGTCAAACGCCAATCGTCGCAATGCCTGCTTTGTGATCTTCTTCCTCGCATCGCGGATGCGACAGTCGTTCAATTCCTAGTTCGCAGCATGAAGGCCATGTTTAGAGGAACAGCTGGTAAGGCTATCGCGGACTACCACGCTGACATACTTCCACAAGTGCCTTTCTTGCCGGCTGTGCATCATTGGCGCGCGTCGAACCATCCTGGTTGAGAAACTTTGTAGTCACTTGTTCATAAAGATGTCTGAACTGGGGATTGTTCTCAAGAATGACTGGATCGCAGGGCGGGATCATCGTTGGGGTAGCGATTGCGGGGACGGATTTGTGAAGAGGATGTTTACTTTGCCTTTGCTCTTTCTTGTCGGGGTACGGAGACGTAGTAGTTTAACCTCCGCGGCGACGTTGAGCGGCTCACCGCCCTGTGCCAGGCAACGAGGCCTTCATCTCCTTCGAACAGAGGGCAGGTCGAAGGTTACCCCAGACAGTTCCATACAATTACGAATGGAGAAGATGTTCATTTGGAGACCAACGTGGCCTGTATAGCACAAGTAATGCTTCGCAATCGCTTCCGTTTTCACGTTTCTTTCGTAATCATACACAGACCCTCACCACTCCCACCACGCTTTGCTCACTGAGTCCAATCACCGATGCCTGAAAACTGGTCGTTTCGCCAGCTCAAGGCTAAACCGACGACTGTCCAATGAAAGCAAACTCAATCTTCCAATATTGTCACGCTGTGAGGTCGACAATTATCCGGATCACCCGATGGATCCCCCAGCCTCGCCTTATGTACAGTTTTGGAGAGTCCGAGGAACAAATCGGACCTTCCTCCAGATGTCAAAGGGGTCGGTCGCTAGGGGAAAAAAGATAAATGACTTAGGAAACGAACGGTAGCTCATTATTGTATGGAGAACATGGCAAAGAAAGACAAACAAGAGTAAAGGGTGTGCGATGGTGAGAGATGAGACTAGCAATGGCTTCAAGTGGCAGGAGCAAACACCACCGTCGGCTAAAGCTCAATGGCAGATAAATGGTAGGCTTCCTGCCTGGCAGGCACTTACTCCTCCTCGCTCTCCTCAGAATCATCTTCCGAATCATCACTACTCTCGTTGGCCTCGACAGAGGGGACAGGGTCGGGTGAGCGGCCACCGCCTCCCTGCGAGAAGCGCGACAAGTTGCTTTCAAGCATGTTTATCTGCGCCTCCTGCTCATACTTGCTCATGGGTTTGTTCTTTTTCGGCTTGGGAGCAGCAGTTGTAGTAGAAGTCGCCGCAGTGGGAGTCGCAACTTCCTCATCCTCCATCACATGAGGCGCGTTCTTCTTGACAAAACGAAGCAGGAGCACAAGAACCTCGTTGGGAAGCTCATCGATATCAAGCTCGATCTCTGTCTCTTGTGTACCCTTTTCAAAGTGTTAGTTCCACGGCCCGTCTTTGCGGTGAAGGGGGAAATAGCATACCTTAAGAGCCGGAACGTTGCTCTGAATAATTTTGAGCGCTTCCTGCATCTTCTTGTCGGGAAGACTACTGATTCCATTGGAGATAATCTGCTTTTCCTGGTAGGTGACCCAGCGCTGCTTCTCAGGCTTGGTACTCTTGGTGCTGATCTTCTTGTCCTTTTTGACATTGCTCGAGCTTACGCTTCCAGGCTTCTTGACCTCCTTCTTCATGGGAGGCTTCGACTTGCTGATTTTCTTGGAGCCAGGAGGAGTCTTCTTCTTTTTCTGAGTAATGGCCTCAATCTGACGAGACATCTCTTCCATCTGCTTCTGCAGCAAACTGAGTTTTTCAGCATCATAATCACTTTCCTCTGCCTCTTCTTCACTCTCGTCCTCGGAAGACTCTGCAGCGCTCTGGTGCTCGGGGTGAGGTTCGTGGGTTTCAAGATACCGGGTCTTTTGGGCCCATTTCTGGTTGAAGATCTCTTCCAGACGCTGGCCGGCAACATATGTGGGATCGCCGGGGATATTGAACTTGAAACAGTTCTTGAAGATCAAGCGCATGTCTAATTCGAATTCCCTGGCATTTTCGTATTGGCCAGCCTTCAGTTTGGTCTGTACAGTAGATAGATCCATCGGTTTCTTGATGATGCTGTGGTAGGTAGGGATGTTAAGAGCGACGGGGTCAACAGGATAGTAGAAAGGCGCCGCGTAGTTGAAATGCTTCGGCTTATACATTTCCTCGCATACCTCGGTGCAGAAGCGCAGCTCCCATTGATACTTCTTCTTCTTTGGCTTTGCAGCGTAGGGAAGATCACGCTTGGGAGGGTGGATGGAGCGTTTTGGACGACCATCTGCATTAGCAGCAGAGTCACGACGGATCAGCGGCAAACCCTCCGGACCTAGAGCGAACGTGGTAGACTGAGGAGAGTTGCCGGTAGCACGTGCCGTACTAGGACTCGGCGCCGCCCGAGGTTCTCGACGGGCTGCCGACGTCTTGGGAGGGAGTTTCTTTGCCTTCTTTTCTTCCATCTCATCAGGCCTGGGAAGATTGTGCATCTGCTTCTCAAAAGTTCCTCTGAGCCTCTGACCCTCAACTGTGACCAAGTGATCGGGGCCGTTGAAGGTTAAGGAGTTCTGGCACATTAGTCTGAAATCATCTATCACAGCCTGTGCGCTTCTGTACTCGTTGAATTTGAGTTTCCGTTCGATGGTTCCTAGATCCATTGGCTGCTTGATGATTTGTGGATAATGGGGAATGTTCAATTTGATCGGATCCACGGGTTCTCGATAGAATCGCGAGTCGTGCATGCGTTTCAGGCTCGTAATCGACTTAAGCAAGAACTTGTGTTGAACCTTGGTGATCCCACCATATCCATTGCTCGAGCCAGCGGAGCGGCTTTCATGGGCCGGTGTAGGTGCGCTAGGAACTTTGAAGTCGGTTGCAGACGCGCCTTCTCCGCCGAACTTGGTTCGCTTAGCAGCGGGTTCGTCACCATGATCAGACTCTCGCTCCCTTGTCACCTTCGTCGGGGACGCTGGAACCACCGGGGCGTCACGCATCTCGTGGTCAACGCTTGGAAGAGGCGTCGCGGCAGGAACAGATCTGGCAGCATCGCTTTTGGACGGGCTGGTGGAAGGATGGTGGGGAAGTTCTGTTTTCACAGATCCAATATTCTGTGATGACTGTGCAGTGCTCTCCACTTTGGCATCGGACGTATCAGTTGATGGCTTTGACGTATCCGGTGACGCCTGTGTGTTTTTGGGGCTAAGACTGTCCGCACCCGTGTGCGGAGCCTTCTCAGTAACAGATTCACTGTTACTTGCAGTAGCCTTGTCTCCCTCACCAGTCGCAACTGAATCCACGTTTGAAGGTTTTTTATCTTCGGACGCGACGGCTGGCTGTGCGGGTGTGTCTGTACTCGGCAGAGAAGGAGACTTGGGTGGAGAAGCGGTTGCAAATAGGCCGTTTGGAACAGAAGTTTGTTCGGCACTGTGACCATTGACAGCAGCGGACTTTGTGTCTTCCGAGGGCTTCTCGGCACCGTTGACGGGCGCATCGGGTTTGACACTGACTACAGCATCTTGGGAACTACGAAGGTGGTCAGCGACGAGACGTAAGTAATGATAAGTGAGGTTGCGAAGATACGTACCCTGTGCGATCGACACCAGCAGGCGAGACTCCATTGGGCGACGGCGGCAGTTGAGGCTTCTCCTCCTTGAAGTCAGAAGGGGCCTCCGGAGGCGGCGTCGCCATTTGGGGTCGCTGTGAAGAAAAGCCCGCCTTGGGGTGGCCGAGATACAAAAAATCTAAGCAGGCGGCGATTCCGATGAGAGTCTCAGTTAACCCAAGGATTTTAGGAAGCGACGGCAACAACAATCAACTGAATAGGTAACACTCTGCGCTATCACAGACTAATGAATGGATTCGATAAGCGGGCGAGCAAGTAAGCTGATTAGATGACAGATGACAGAAGGGAAAACCGGTTGAATAAGCAGTCCCAGTCTGATGCGACGCCACGGGAGTTGCAGCAGATACAGGAAAGGATGAAGATTAGCGCGGGTCGCAAATGTGGAGAATGCGACAAGGCACTGGGCAAGTACTTATATCGCCAAGAGGCGGCGGGCGGTAAATGCAACAGTCACGTGGGCGGCAAGCGTGGGTTAGCTAAGCGGAAGGCAGCGGCGCCAAACGGATGTGAAGGGAAACGATATCAGAACCGAATGGAAAAAGGGGATTGAAGAGGAATTGAGATAAGATGGCAATCAAGGGTAAGTCACTGAATGCCGGAGTTGTTGAAATAGTCACCCGTCATTCAACACACGTGCCTTTGTTCGTGCCTTAGGCCGATTAAAGGTTTTGGCAACGCGTTGGTAAAGAGAAAGGGAAGGACACGGATGGAATTGGGTTCGGGAGCTTGGACGGAAGTCGTTGCTAATAATAATAAGAAAGGGGAAAGGGGGAGGGTGAAAATAATAAGACCCCAAGGGAAAAAAATAAAATAAAAAATAAAATAGATTTATCCCAAATAAAATAAGCAGCTGCAGTAGCTGTGGCTGGGATCGAACGGGTGAGGGCGCGACGCGATACAAGACGCGTGAGTAATATCCAGGGGCAACCGAGGATAATACAGGCTGCAACAGCTTAGAAAGCAGAGGAAGATGAGTGAGGTGGAGGGCGGTCAGCAGAGGGGAGGAGGGAATGGGGTGTGTGTGGTGGTAAAGTAGGGGAAAAGCGTGACCGGCGCGCAGCTCTCAGCTCTCAGCTCCAGAAACAGAGACAGAGAAAGTCGGAGGGGGTGCTAGAATCCTTAAGTACGAACGGCCGCGTCGCGCCTGTCCGCTCTCTGCCGCTAACTCCATCTGCTACGCTAGTCCCAATTTATCTAGTTCAAGCCATTCTACACCTCCTCATTGGTTCGCCGATGACGCGTTCGACGGATTTCTGGTTACTATTGGTCGTATCCAACCCTGGTCTTTGTCGGAAACATCCTCGAAGCCAGACACCAAGACAGAGAGTGTAATGGTTTTTTTTTTTTGAAAAAAAAACGAGGTTGTCCACTCGGTGAGTGATGAATGAGGACCGTATCCTCCAAAGAAAAAAAAAAAAAAAAAAGCTGACCCGAATCACTAAACGGTGGCATACCGATCTGCACCCTGTCGACCAGATGGTACCTTGGCCAAGTGAGATCAGATATGACATACCCGATTAGAGTATGTTAGGCCTTCGGTGGGAGGATGCATCATGGATCTAATAGGAAGCCTACAGACCTGCTGGCCGCCCGAAGCCAGGATGTGTTGGTCTGCTGACTTTGTGCAACCCCAGGGTTTAGCCCTGAGCCCTCCCTTGCATCGCATCCGGTTTAGTCCGAATGCTGATGTAACCAGGCCCTTGGGTCTTCGCAAATCAAATCTCCGAGTGGCCAGGTCTGAACATTCAACGGATTTAACGGATTTGTCATACTCATAAGAACGCGCATCGATGAGTTGGAAACAGTGTTGGTGTCGTGGAGGTGAGAGATTCGTAGAGGTTCTCGCCACTAACATCAAATCAGAAGCTGGGCCTCACTGAGGACATGACACCTTCAGGTCATGGGTTTCGATGAGTATGACACATATCGATTCCCGGTCGCTCGGCGCTCTTCGAAAGGATGACTCGTCTAGGCAGCCGTTCACAAACCATGGCGCCTGTTGTCTCAATTAGCCATACTCTTGGGCTGCTCTATCACGTCGTTTATGTCTTGTAGCAGCTAAAAGTTTTTGTCTTCAAGTTGAACGTGGACGTGAAGATTTGAAGACTGGCACATCTGTTGCTGTAACCATGCCGAATCTGACCAACTGGCTGTCGGCAGGTAACCCAGGAACTGCCGCCGTGGCAGCACGAGTGGCTGCTGCGATTGTGATCACAGGGAAGAAATGAGATGACAGCGAGGCGAAGAGTTTTTCCCTGATCTCATCGAAAATATCGGTGCTTGGAGTCGAGATATGTTTGAGGTAGTAAGGGTCTGTATTCCAGGGCTCTTTGGCTCTCAAGATCCTGCACGGTTAGTGTAATGTGAGGTTGTTGATGACTTCTGGTGATAATGAAAAGCATTGCATGAAATCCTGAACTGTAAGTAGTATCAAAAGGATACCAGAGTATCATTTTCGACCCATTCTTCTCTGCACGTAAGATTTTGTAGGACAAGGAGATGATTAGAGGAAGAACGCTATGTACCGGCACCTCACCCCTCCGTGTAATTGTGCTTGGCTAGAGCGGAGGATTAGATAAGACACCCGGAGCGGAACTCGATCACGGGCAGCTAAACCGCAACAGGCCAAGCGCATCTTTACAGAACTTTTTTTTCCTCTTCAGCAACCTCAACTCGGGTCCAGAAAGTCGGCGACGGTCGACCAGCACAACAGTCTTTCAGAGTCAAGAGGTTGTCGCTCGAATTTGCTGTGGGGTCAGGCTTCTTATCGCCTTCTGCTACCTCCTTTGCGACACGGACACATTTGCATTTATCGCCTTGATTCCACCCGCAGAGTCCATCCAAAATGGCCAAGAAAGCGTCTCGCCCGGCCGCTTCGAAAACTTCCTCCGCTGCGTCGCCCGCGGTAATAGGATCGACACAGATCGGAAATCAGTCTTCAATCTTAAAGGCGTCTTTCGCTCCATCAGAGTACCAACTGACACTCTTCGCGTCGGTCATCCAAGGCCTTGGTGCTCAGCATCTCCGCATTCACGATACGAACACAGGACGGTTACAGTGCGAGCATGTTTTGGGTCCCAAGGAGATCGTTACCTCACTAGACTGGGGTTATTTCGCCGGTCGCCAGAAGGACAAGGATCAATCGAAGAAGAAGAGAAAGAGGAATTCTGATATCAATGGGGACGCTTTCGATCAGGGCGATGTCGTCGTTGCCTTTGGAACCAACACTTCTGAGATTCGAATGTATTCGCCTGTGGATGATAAGATTGTCGGCACTCTTGCAGGTGGACACGAGAAGGGCATCAAAGATTTCAAGTTCACCCCCAGTCGGCCCGGCCAGGAGGGTTGGAGCATTGGCGGAGATAACAAGCTAGTGCAGTGGGACCTCCGCACCGGACAGAAGACAAGGTAAATTCAGCTCAAGTCACCTCCTACTATAGTCATCCTTTCGGCTGATCATATCTTCAGAACCATTCATCTACCTCCCACGTCGACATATAATACACTCTCGCGTCCTCTTCCTTCTAACCCCCATGTCATTTGCGCCTCGCAAACGCCGTATATTGTTAGCGTCGAGAAGGACGAACCTCCTGTGTCGTTTGATGCTATGCGCAACCCTATCAGACAAATCTTCACATCTTCAGCAGAGTCTGCGGGGACGGGATTGTTCCTTGTATCCGATAGTGACCGCTACATTAATGTCTTCGATACCGAGAAACAGAAACTTGTTATGAACCTCGTGGCTGAGCAGGGTGTGAGCTCCCTAGCTTTGTATACCGGCGCCGAAAAGAACGGCGATGCTCTCCCGGTAGAGAAGCAAGTTCTCGCCGCTGTGACTGAGGATGGCACGATTGAACTCTTCACGCGGCCGTTCGTAACGCCCGCTGAGCAGACTTCTGCCAAGGGTGCTGCTCAACAGAGGGCCAGATCTAAGCAGGCCATCAGAAGAGCAGAGGCATCGATTAAGGTCACCATGTCTGCTACCTCCGAGGCGCTTGTGTCAGTTGTGGCAGCGACGTTCCAAGGCTCCGACCTGGTTATTGTCTGGGCTGACGGTGGTGTCGTTCCTGTCTTCGAGCGGGTCCAATGGCTCGATGAGGAAACCGACGAGGTGTTGTTCACTGGCACTAGGACCTTTCCTAGAATTAAGACTGGCGGAGTCTTGGGTTCCGTCACCACGAACGGAACCAGAAGCGCTAGAGAAAACGATGTCGACCAGTCCCGGGCCACGGTAGAGCAGGGAAACATCATTGAAGATGACATTGAAATGCAAGATACCAAGGAAGATGCTGTTTCCCAGGCCGACAGTGAAGAAGAGTCCGACTCTGACGCCGACAACGAGAAGCCCTCGAAGCAGTTGCAAAAGAAGGAGGAGGACAGCGATGTCGAAATGGGTAATGAGCAAGAGTCAGGCTCCGAGGACGAAGAGGAGGAAACTGGCGAGCCGTCTTTCGGTGAGCTTGTGCGCGCTAACCAGGAAATTGTTGACGTCGAAGCCGAGCTTGAGGACGACGTGCATATGGGATCCCTGATCCCCGGAAAGCCAAACGCCGCGATCCAGCAAATCCCTTCGGGCGTGTCATTGTCCACCGTCCTCACCCAGTCTCTCAAGACCAACGACACCGCTATGCTCGAGTCATGCTTCCACACCGGCGACCTCTCTATCATCCGCACTACCATCCAACGCCTCGACTCGTCCCTGGCAGCCACTCTCCTCCAGAAACTCGCAGAGCGCCTTTCCGGTCGCCCCGGTCGTTACGGGCACCTGCTCGTCTGGGTCCAATGGACCTGCGTCGCGCACGGTGGAGCTCTTGCTGGTAAGCCCGAGCTTCTCAAGCGGATGTCGACCCTCTTCAAGGTCATGGAGCAGCGCTCTTCAAGCCTTCCTTCGCTGCTCCTGCTCAAGGGCAAGCTCGATATGTTGGACGCCCAGCTCGGATTGCGACGGTCGATCCACAACGGCGAAGAGGCCATGGACAGCGAGGATGAGGAGAACATCATTTACGTGGAGGGACAGGAGGATGAATACGAGGATAGCGACGCCGAGGCGAACAAGGACACCGTCACACCCCGCACCAAGTCGATACGTGACCAGACCTACGATGAGGAGGAGTCGATGATGAATGGCGTGCACTACGGTGGAGACTCTTCCGAGGATGAAGAAGAAGGCAGCGAAGAAGAGGAGGACGAGGATGAGAACATCCTCGATGTCGAGGCGGAAGAGTCCGCTGGCTCCTCCGATGCGGAAGAGTCCCTCGAGGAAGATGAAGACGAGGATGACGAGGATGCCGAGAGCGTCGGCTCCATGGTGGACTTCGTCGCCGATACGGAGGACGAGGAGGAGTCTGATGACGAAGCCACTGCCGCTCCTCAGCCTCCGCCTTCCAAGAAGGCCCGGCTGAACAGCGGTGGCGGTGGTGGACGAGGCAAGGGCAAGAAGGCAGGAAGAAAATAGGCGATAGATCAAAACTCTCTTTTTTTTGTTCACCTTGTCATCCTATCTTCTACCACCTCACCCTCTCCTACCATTAGATTTTATACCCCCGTTCTTCAGCAGCAGCAGCAGCAGCAGCGGCAACAGTAATGTTGGTGTCATTCTCCCCGGATGTTTTATTATTGCCTCCAACCTAAAAAAGTACAGAGAGAGAGGTGGATGTGTTGAGTTACGAGTAAAGGATCATGTTTTGATTGGTTCCCTTTGGATTTCCTTTTTTCTTCTTCGTCGTTTTCACCTCGGTTTTCCCGCCACTTATCGCATGCTAGAACTAGGGCGTGAGCAGTCAAAAAAAGGGAGAGAGGGAAGGAGTAGTGTGAATATATCAATCATGTTTTCTTCACCCGGCTAGAACATAAATATATCTTCCCTTAGCCACGTGACATATCATACCACACCAACAGCCAGCCAGCAGGTAACTCAACTGCACCTACTAAGTCATATCCCCATCGAATGCACTCAATCACGCTAACATCTCCCCCTCCTTACAAGCCCCCGAATGCAACACCCGATGCGCCGGCACCTCCGCCAAGGGCACCTCCACCGCCACCGTCATCTGACCGGACGGATACGTCGTCGCGTGGCCCTCCGCGCTCACCTCCTGGGTGTCCAGCGCCAGGATCGCCCCGTTCTTGCCCCCGGTCACCCACGCCTCGTCCGCGGAGGTCGGAAGCGTGATGTGCGCCACTCCGGAGAGGAAAATCACCCATCTGTTTTTTTTTGAGTGGTGTTACTTTAGGTACTGTACTGACCCGAGCTGAACCATAGGACGAGGGGGTTCGGGGATACGAAGTAGTGAGGGAGAAGGAGATTGGATTGATGGTCATGGTTTATAGTCTATTGGGGCTCTGGGGCTGGGGACTGGAAGATTGCGGGTGAAAGGGATGGGGAGCAAGTAAAGGGAGGGGGAAACATACTGCAGCGCGGGAGCATTATGTTGGCCGCCGTCATAGTTGGCGGGGATGAGGATGTTGGTTGCGTTGCCGGTGATGGGGCCCAGATTGAGGACGGCGTTGCCGGAGACCCCGGCCTCGGAGGTGAGGGAGTAGCCCGGTTGGAGGGCCCAGCATTCGAGCACGGAGTGGTTGTTGTGGGCTGTCAGGGTGGTGATGTTGAGGGTGCTGGGGAATGGACTGGTTGTCGCTGTGGTGTTTGTGGTGGTGGCTGCTGCTACTGCTGTTAGAGCAGTGGCGCCGAGGGCTAGGATGGTCGAGATGAGGATGGTGGATGCGCCCATTGTGGATGGTTGTAGGTCAGAAGCAAGGCTTGAGATTGATGGTTCTGGAGGGAAATAGAGCGGTTGATGCTGTAGTACTGAGTACTGTACTGTTCAAGAGGTAGGCTGCTGGAGGCGATGGGCTACATATATGATAAAAATATTGCTTCGGATTATGTGCCACCTGAGGGCTAGAAAGATCCGAGTGATTGAATTTACGGCTCTTTATTTCAAGTAAGTCTATTGATGATCATTTGTTTCCGCAATGCAAGATCGCGATGGAAAAGGCTTGAGTCAGTTTAGACGCGCTATTGATGTATGAACAAAACCCATGCAGCAAGGATCGTCGGCCCGGTCCGATTCCAAAGGCAGGAGGATTCCCTTCGTTCGGCACACAAGGTTCCGTGAGGTATACATGACAGAGAGACCTCATTGAAAAAATAATGGGTTACTACAATCTAGTAGTCAGCGGGTTGTGATAATGATACACACCTACGGCAAGCTTCACGACCCTCGTCGTACTGGTATCAGGATCGCTGATATCAACGAATGATTTCATCCCCCGCTTTCTCGAGACCTTCCAAGCCCTCGAGAATGCCGCTGCCCCCAAAAGAGCCCGCCACTGCAGCTGTTCTTCGCTTAGATCCGCTCCACACCTCATGAAACTTGACGCTTTGATCGCTGGAAGCTACGATGATGCAGCCTTCGTGCATCGTGCGCGAACACCATAGGCCTCCCTCCTTAGCGCGTGGCCGTACAAAGGCGCGACTCATACGGCGTCGACTCGGCTGATATCGGCTTTGCCCGGCTAACCGGTCTTGGTTTGCTGCGCTCGACACGCACTCGTCTTCGACCTCGTCCGAAGCTTCAGCCTCGAAAATATGGGGTCTTCCAGGATAACTGACAGCGCAGAGTGCCCGCCCGCAATCGACCACGAGGTCATTATCTGCGCTTTCCCAGCTACTACCGTGCGGCCCCCAAGGGATGGCAGCAATTTGCTCACAAGTCGGCCAAGCGAACACCGCGATTCGGTAGGGGTGCTCTGGCTGGGCGAACCCGAATGTAGCCACAATCTCCCGCCTGGTTTTGCTCCAAATCAAGCCCGTCACTTGTGCATATACATGAATTGTGGCCAGACATGCACCTGTCGGCGCGTGGTAGAAGTGGATAGTTCGGTCGTTGGATCCTCCACCGGTGGCCAGGAGGGATGGTTGCCAAGGAGCAAATGCAATCGCTTTCACCGCCGCCCCATGGATTAGTCGATGTTTTTGACGGTTGGCTGGAACCATGATTGTCTTTTCACCACCGGAGATCAATGACCCCGTATGGTTCAGCAGCGAGGTGGTAAAAGGCCTAACATATGACAAGGCCCAGGGCGGAAGCAGGTTGCCGATGAGACTGCGTCTTCGATGATGAAGCCTGCCAGCCTCTGTTGTAAGATAAGAGGCCAAACCTGTGCCTTCTGTGCCTCCTGACTGGCCTGACTGGCGCGTGGATTGGTGTGAAGAACGATATGACGAATCAGTTTGAACTGAAAGATTGAGTTCACGCGGAGGAAGAATAGTCTGGAGCTCAAATAGCAGACAAAAGTTGTCATTGCCCCCCGTTGCAAGGAAAGAGCCATCTGGTGACCAACTGATTCCACAAATTTGCTGTGTGTGAGCAGCGATTTTGGCGAGCAAGGTCATGGCTCCGTTCCAGTCATATCGATCCCATATCTCATCATCAGGCCACTCCACTGAGTAATACCATATGTTCCCCAGATCATCTCCTACAGCCAGATCCTCGACATCAACTTCCATGTTGCGGAAGCGTTCTGATGTTCTGCGGGACTTGGTTTGCTTGAATGCCACACATGTGATGCTCTCAGGATGGCTAATCTCAAATCGGACCTCAGCGTCGAAGACACTCCACAAACATAACATCCCCGACTGCCTTGCAACAGCCAGTATACTTTTTCCGCCATTATCAGAGGAGAATGCTAAAGATGTCACGTAGTTGGAGGGATGCTGATCGCTAAGGGGAGGATGCTGTACTCCAAGATCTTCGGACCACAAATACACACGATGACCCAAACCAACAGCAAGAATGCCGGATGTGGGTGAATACGCCAATGTTGAGCAATAAAAGTCATCGCGGAGGAGGGGCGCATCGAGAATGCGAAACGGACGATTGGGGACGACTCGCTTACTCGGCTTGGATACAGGCATCCCTGACAGTGGGCTCAATGGTCAGTCATAGGTCTCGGGACCCTGAGAGGCCCAAGGTAGCTCAAAGGACGACAAAAGATAATCAACAGTCTACCAGGGGCCTCGTTGCTAGAACAACACGAAACAATACAAGCACTCGATTGACCTTGTGAGCAGAACTGGGACTTACACAGATCTCTCCCATTCCGTTTCCAGGCGTTATCCTTCCACACAAAGGGAGAGAATCTCTCGTAGTCCGATGAAGCTGGATTCGGCAACCCGCGGAGCAATGACCAGGGCTTACTGCTTTGTATAAGTCTTGTTGCCGGATCAAAGTCCAAAGCAAGTGCCACCCTGGATTTGTGTTTCTCGCGTTCCTCGTTCGCCGCAGTCTGGGGTAAGAATTTAGCAGTAAACATGGGAGCAGTAGTGCCACTGGCGAAATGAGAGCCCGAGCCACGAGCAACTGTCGTAGATGCTCGACCCAAGGAGGCGGAGTTTCCTCCAACATTCCAGACAGCTCCATAGCTTATTTGTCTCGAAATGTCTGTGGTGTCGCGGAACGGCGAATCGCTTCCAGTATAGGTAGGCTCGGTGACAAGATGAGGACGATAGTGAGGGCTGCAAACGCGATTTGAGGCTACTTTGGAACCGCTGAAATATCTTGGAAGGTGTGATGGCATGAACGGGTCATCTCTAGGCGGTCGTCGTCGCAGTAGCTTCTCCTCTGGCGATAACTCTCGCGGTTTCTTAACTACATGGAATGGTGTTGTGGGCGCGCAGTTGGACTCTCGCAAGGGAATATATCGATCAGGCAGCTCACATCTCGTACTGCAGTCAGATGACTTGTAGTGCACGGGGAGTCTGATCGTCGACCGAGGTTTCCTAGTTGGCCCTGTTGTTAAGGTAGACAACGCGTGGTCTGAAGCCCTCAGAGCATTCGCATGAGGGGCGGATGGACGCCTGTTTCCCGGTTTGAGAGAAGAATACTCGAAGCTCTTGGCATCTTGCAGTTTCTTTGACCCAGGTCGAGGAGTATGTATATTGAGTTTGGAATGAGTGACGGGCTCCAAGAGTGATGGGGCACTCGCACACAGGTGAAATGATGGTACTCGCCCTCCTCCATTAGCCGATGGATTGGGTGCAGAAGGATCCGAATGGGAATGAGAGGTTGTCAGCATTGAGCTTCGCAATGAGCGAGTGCTTGAGGTCATTGCTCTCCCCGCCTCAGTCTGAGACTGAACAAGTAGTTGACGGTGCGCGGATAATAATCCCCAGATGTATAAAGAACGCTGTTAGTAACTGTGTCTTTGGTAAAGTTCGTGGAGCCAAGAAATGAGCCGGAGCTCTTATTGATATACTGCCATGCTGCCAAAGAACAGCATGACGGAGTGATAGCTGGCAAGAGTCAGAAAGAAGAGACTGACCACGATACCTCCGATGATTGCAAAGTAGAATGGTTGTATAGAGCAGGACACGTGACTCGTCTAGATAAGGAAAGTGGCTGCGGCTCGCCCTGGAAAGGCAACCAGGGACTCGGTAAGTGGACTGGGAATAGTCGCCGCTTCACATACTCACTCTTATCGATAACCTTAGTGACCGTCAACCTATTTGCAATCCATCCGCCCAAGGAAGCCCTGTTGCAACATCCCAAAAAAGTCTCTCTTAATCTACAATGGCTGAAGTGACGTACCTATTCTTGCTGGCTCATTCGCGCACATCAAACTGACCTTGTGTGCAACTACAGCATGGGATTCCTCGATACGCCCGTAGAGGGGAGCGGACTGAAGAAGCTCGCCAGCAAGAGCTTCGCAAGATCGAGAAGTATCGTGAACTCGAACAGTCGGTCCGAGAAAAGGTGCATTTATGCAATCGTACATCTCTATATGGCAAGCGTGACCTAACGGTGGTGACCAGATTTCGGCACAGCAGTACACACCAGAAACTCTACAGAAGATATCCGAACTGCTAAGCAGCAACCCAGAGTACTACACGATATGGAATTATCGTCGTCAAGTCTTGCGAAGCGAATTTTCGCGCGCAGAATCTAGCGGCTCCAACGAAACGGCAGCAGAACAGGTTGCTTCCTTGATCAAGAACGACTTGCTATTTCTCATTCCCTTGCTCAAGAGTTTTCCCAAGTGCTACTGGATTTGGAACTACCGCGTCTGGCTCTTGGACGAAGCCAAGCGTCTTCTTCCTGCTCCGATCTCCCGTCGATTCTGGCAAGAAGAATTGGGCTTGGTAGGCAAGATGCTCAACCTGGACAGTAGGAACTTCCACGGCTGGGGTTACAGACGATTTGTCATAGAGACTCTTCGGGAGCTCAAGTCCGCAGAGCAACCCAGCGAAGACATGACCCAGGCTGAATTTGACTACGCAAAGAAGATGATCGGCGCCAACCTGTCGAATTTCTCTGCTTGGCACTATCGTACCAAATTGATCCAGCGACTTCTAAACGAGCGATCAGCCAGCGATGAGGAGCGGAGAAAGATGCTCGATGACGGTAGGTTACGTTTTCCGCCGTGTGGCGCAGACACAAGCGTCTTACTGCGTGGGCATGCTAACATGTCATTTCGGAAGAGTTGGAATTGGTCCATCGTGCCCTGTGCGACCCATATGACCAGTCATTGTGGTTCTACCACCAGAACTTAATGTGCGTCTTTGATCCGACGGTAGCGGCGCAGACAATGGCACCAAATCTCAGTGACTCGGAACGCTTGGAATATCTCCGCCAAGAGATCGAAGAAATCGAAGACATGCTGGATGGGGCGGAAGACTGTAAATATCTCTACCAAGCCTTGATCGACTGTACGTTGTTGGCTTGGAAGGTGGAGGGAATAACTCCCGCCGATACGCAGAAACGAGCGGTGTTAAAGTGGCTTGCGGAGTTGAAGAAGCTGGACCCGCTGCGACAGCAACGGTGGCTGGATTTTGAACAGTCACTTGCCTGCTGAGCCGATCATGATCATCCCTTGCCGACCGATCTGGAAACTCCGCATAAGTCCGCATAAGAATCTGATAGGTAGAACGCCATCTTCGGGATATTCTTTATGAGATTTGGATTTCTATGTCATTTTTCTATTCCTTGGTCCCTTTCTCAATCAATCCTTGCTTAGCTATTATGCTTCTGTGTCCCACATATCGTCATAGACACTAACCAAGTAACAAACTAAAGATAGCGGGATACAGATATATACGTACCGCTTAGTTGGTGGAGACGGCAGCTGTCGAGGGGGTGGGTGAAAATAATTATGAATGTTGGTGGGTTTCAGAATAAGAGGTGTGTGGCTCTGGGCAGGAATGTTGCCCTTAGATATCGATCAATACCAAAAGAATCAACCCACGATTCAGTCCCCATGGGAAGAGAGGAAGAAAGAAAGAAAGAAAGAAAGAGGGAAAGATAAAAATATGAAACATGCTGCCTGCAGACTTGGACATTCAATAATACGTCGTCCACCTTGTCTTTGTTGATTAGAACTTCCCCTGTCTATTATTTTTAGTCTGGCAATCAGTTGGTTGGCCTTGTCAAAAGTCTTCTTCTCCTGACTAGTAATTGATTAGTGCGGAGTACCACCAATGGTACAGTCCTGGACCTAGACAACTGGTAACTTACTGTAGTTTAAGGGGGGGAAACTTTACATGCAAGAGTCAGTCAGCCAGTCAGCCATTCATGCCACAATCACAGTACTTCGTACACAATAATAATAGAGAGACTAGGTACTCCGTACGAAGTACGCGGAGTCGAGACTGCCCAGTCGGGAACTGTCCGCCTCCTCTCCAGCTTCTAGTTTGCTGCTCTTCTCTCTCTCTCTCTCTCTCTCTCTCTCCCTCTCACTTTCTTCCTTCCATTCCACTCTTCTATTGTGTATTCTTGCAACCTGTCTCCAACTGCACCTAAAAAAAAAAAGGGAGTCAACCTCCTGGATTTACTTACTTACTGGGAACCGATCTTCCTAGTTCCGTGGCACGGTCCTGGAATTCCACCCGCTGGCTTCTGGGTCCATTCATTCCATTCATCCCCATCTCCCGTTCGTCTATCCAACCTCTCGCTGTGCACTTTCCCTCCCCCCTCCCCTTCCTCCTTCCCTCAAGTCTCAAGTCTCAAGTCTCAACTCCTCACCTCTCTCCACCACCACAATTAATTTCTTACCTCTGACAACGGTCGGTGGCTACCGTCCCATCTCCGCCTGCCTCCACCTCCCTATCATGGAAATTTCACAATCCTGACCTCCTCAATCGCTCTCCCCCCTCCCCACGTATCGCGCGTGTATTCAGCCTCGTTGTATCAATCGGAATTTCAAATCTGGAAACCAACTGGTCTTACATAGTTTCGGCCCCCCCCCAGGTGGTCGGGTCTAAAATATGTCGACTTCCAGACGCAATAGCGAAACCTACGAAGGAGTGAGCCTCTGACCTCTCGATCCGAATATATTCGATATCCTTAGAGGGCCCCATAATGACAACTTATTTGTACCAGGAATCTTTCGATGATGCACCTGAATCTCCGACTTCACACGCTGATCTTAGCGTCTCGATTCCGAAGAGTTCTTCCTCCCGATCGTTGACAGACAGCCCTCCGAGTGGATCGAATGTAACACCTCAATTGACGGAAGCACCCCCGCTACCTATAAGCTCCCAAGAGGACCCGGAACACGTTGAAGAGAGTGATGCTGCCAGTATAGACAGAAAATCCGAAGCAGAGGATACCCCCCGCAAGACCAAGAAGTCGCCATTGCTGACCGCGCATCGGTTGTCGACTACTTCCCTCGACGAGGTGAACCTTACCAGCAATAAGGAGGAAGAAGAGTCGCTTGAGAAACAACGCTTGAGCCAGGAGCTCAAATCTGGCACACCTCCACCAATTGTATCTAGAGACTCGATTTCGTCGCAGAGCTCGCGCCTTCAAGGATCGGCCAATGGTTTGCCCAATGGTGCTTCCACGAACAAAGCGGCCGCTCCTGCACCACCCCCACCACCAACCCGTTCGTTCACCAGCCCCTTTGCATGGCTTTCTCGAAGCTCGTCGTCCAACAAGGAGGCCAAATCGCCTCCACCACAACCCCGCCGCAACACGGCTGCATCGATTTCCACACTCTCCAGCAATCCTGAGGGTCGACACCACGATGCAGAAGATGTGGACGGCACAGGCCCAAGGCGGCCTCGACGAAGCAGCCTGAAGGATCAATTCAAACAGCTCAGATTGCGTGACGAAGGTCTTGTATCGGAGAACGACGAAGCGAGTGTCACGTCAGGACGGGCCAGTATTAGTCACTCTGCAGGGAGCCCCCCGAGCATCCCGGAAGAAGGCGACAGCTACACGAGCATTACTCCATCCGCAGCTTCTCCCTCCAATGGCACGTCGACTGTGAATCCAAATCTGCCTCCGGGTACAGTTGCAGGCTTCTCCACCTCAGCGACAGATGCGTCTGCACCGGTAGACTGGGAGCTCTGGCAGCAATTAGTCAATCGTGGTCCACAAGCGCTGAAAGGCGCGAATTCGGAGGAGCTCAATGCCGCTATCAAACGAGGAATCCCGCAAACTATTCGAGGGGTGATCTGGCAAGTCCTGGCTGACAGCCGTAACCCCGAGCTGGAAGAGGTGTACCGAGAACTCGTTGCTCGTGGTACAGACAAGGAGAAGCAGCGATCCGGCAACGGCTCAGTCAGTGGACTAGGCGAAAAAGACTCTGCAAGGTCGTCATCTCGTTCTTCGGTTCGCTCAGAGCGATCTGCTTCTCTGGCACACTCGGTCAATGGCTCCTCGAGCCCTTCGCATGAACTCGATTCCGAACGGCTGGCCAAGGAACAAGCAAAGAAAGCGAAGGAGGATGCATTGGCGCTGCAAAAATTGGAGAAGACAATCCGACGCGATTTAGGCGCTCGCACGAGTTATTCGCGCTATTTTGTTTCGCAAGGGAATCAGGAGGCTTTGTTTGGGCTGTGTAAGGCGTATGCCCTTTACGATGAGGGCGTGGGATATGCCCAGGGAATGAACTTTATTGTCATGCCCTTGCTCTTTAATGTAGGTCACCGAATTTCTTAAAAGACCAATGAGTGACACTGACAATCTTGCAGATGGACGAGGCGGAGGCATTCACACTTCTGGTCAAGCTCATGAATCATTATGGTTTGCGGAAGATGTTTATTCAGGAGATGCCTGGTCTTCACCGCTGCTTGTATCTCTTCGAGCGTCTGCTGGAGGACTTTGAGCCGGCCCTCTACTGTCACCTCCGGCGACGCGGTGTACCTCCCCAGCTGTACGCAACACAGTGGTTTCTCACACTGTTTGCTTATAGATTCCCTCTACAACTAGTCCTTCGTGTTTACGATCTTATATTCGATGAAGGCCTTGAGAATGCTATTCTCAAGTTTGCTCTCGCCATCATGCGCCGAAATGCAGACGCGCTTTTGGAGATGAAGGACATGGCACCTTTGACCACGTTCTTGAAAGAGCGTTTGTTCGACGTTTACATCGACAGGCAACCGACTCCCTCCTCGATCCTGGAGTCCGGCTTCTTTGGCAGCTCGGGCGCTGCCGACAAGGAAGTCTATCGGGCGGATATCATGGTGCAGGACGCTTGCGCTATACCTCTAGAACCAGAGACGGTCAGTGCGTACACAGCTGAGTGGGAGGACAAGGTACGGACGGAAAAGGAGCGCGAGGCCGAGCTCGAGAACCTGAAGCACACTGTGGCCGTGCAAAGTGCCCGGATCCGCCAGTTGGAGGAGCAGAACGAGGCTTCTGACAAAGAGCATGTCCAGCTCGCGTCAGAACTGGTCCACATCAAGGTCGAAAATGAAGAGCTGACAGACATCAATGATGCATTGAAAATGCAAGTCAAAGAGCTCAAGATTGTAGTGGACAAGCAGCCAGCAGAGGTGGAGGAGAAGCTGCGCACAGAGATGGACCGCATCATGCAACGCAACCTTGAGGTTCAAAATGAGAACCGGTCGATGGTCGAGCAGATGGCAGAGATGGAGAAGGAGCTGGTAGAGGCCAAGATGAAATGGGCCGAGGTGAGTCTGCCTTTGAATATTCGGTTCCCACAGTGCAAAGCTGACTTAGTGAATTGAAAGATTCATGAAAACCATGAAAATCTCAAACAGAAATGGAGTGACCTCCGCAAGGCTCTCGACTAAGTCGCGGGTTGTATATTCTAGGCTAGCATTGAGTGATAGAGGAGTGGTTGCTGGCTTCGCTGCTTTTCTCCCCTCGCTCTCCTCGTTCGGTCTCCTTGACGGTTTCTGAACCATATTGTACATTTTAAAACGGCTGACAAGGAGGGAAAAACTCTTGGGTACCCTGTACTTCTAATCCCAGGCCATGATGGGCGAGGATCATGTTAGTTGTCTCATGTTTATGTTTTTATCTTCACTTCTGCTCGATTCGGCAGCGAAACCGGGGCTGGCATTCAGCTATGCTCCAGCATGCATGCATGGAACTGATTCATGAATTGGATATCATACCTCGAGACACGAGTGTCTGGGTAGAGTATATTCAGATAAACATCCCCTCTTTATTGAGAAGAAAACTCCCACAAATCATGTCGATCATAAAGTCTATACCCATTGACCACTTTATCCCTCTCCCCCTTTGGATCCTTTTCAAGTCTTCACAGAACACTCTCAAAGTACGTCGTCAACACATCCTCCCGCACAGGTCCCACCACCGCCTTCAGCGCCTTGTGCGCCTCACACTCGGTATCGTAGTACTTCATATCCTCCAGCGAGGCAAACGTCGTCTTGACGCTGAGATTGTACCCCTTGTTGCGAGGATCGGGGAACGAAGGCCCCGCGGCCGCGCTGACGATATATGGCTTTCCGTCCTAAACCACGTCCAGTGTGTCAGTATGCTCATTCCGTTTCCTTCAACCCAGGGTAAGTGGATAATCAGTGACGTGACTCGGGGTCTGATGCTCGGTGCTTGGGCTAAGTATGAGTATTTACCTTGACGGCCGTCTTAGCAAGGACCTTGTACTGTTCCAGCACGCGGTCCCGGGCCGCCTCGTCGGGAATCTTGAAGAGGGTGATGCGTTCGACGGCTGGGGCCATTTTGGGGAGGGTGCGGAGCATTCAATTCGGTAGACAACAGGTTTTGGATGGGTTTGGGTGGGGTATTGGCTTTTGGGGATTCGCGTGTGAGGGGAAACTTGAGGATCAGAAGTGAGGTATTTGAATGTAAGTATGTATGTACTCCGGAGTATGTATGTATATGGTGAAAGGTGGGTGTGTGGGAGGGTAGGAGGGAGGGAGGGCTTTATGTATCCGGATAGTATCCCGTCGGGGCAAACAGAGTATACGCGGTTGCGGGGTAGGTCCAGGGAAAATGGGAGATGGTAGTTCTACCGTATAGGCGGTATTTCTGGTGGGGATTACAGTTGTTGCTGGCTAGCCTGGGTAAGATCGCTCGGGTGCTTGGAGTTGCTTCCTTGTGAGGAAAATACGTCTGTAGTTGTTGAGCAATTGCGCTGATTATTGTATGTACTACTCAAGATCTTGAGGGGGGCTTTCCGACGGATGTTCGGCTGGCGTCGGGTATGGTCGGATGCAGTTGGGAGATGAGATGGATTGTTGATTCTTTGGGGGGTTCTGGGTGTGCATTGGGGCTGATGTGAGATGGTGATTTACTTTACTTTGCGAGATACTTGCGGATGTCTGGGAAGAGGTTGTTGTATGATTCGGCATGCAGGTGGTGGTGCATCTATTGTTCTTGCTTGCTTGTTTGTGTATACCCAGTGGCTGGTTACTGTACAGTACTAGGGGCAATCGATGACGACGACTCCTCGATCGCGGAATTCTTTCCTCGCGCTCCCTTTCCGCCGCGCCCACTCCGGCTATTTTCCTTGCCGACGCTGCGGAATAATACCTGTCCTGTGCCTCCTTGTCGATCTTTCTTTGTGATGATCTAATGAGATTTTCTTGTTCAGACTGCAATGCAAGATATCTTATGCCAATCACAAATTCCCCCGTAACGCCTGCTCTCGTTCGAAGGCCTCGAACAGACTCTTGAAGTTCCCGGCGCCGAATCCATCGAAATTGTTGCGCTGGATCACCTCCAAAAAAACCGTCGGGCGGTCTAGCACGTGCTTGGTGAAGATCTGGAGCAGATAGCCCTTCTCGTCGAAATCCACCAGGATGTGCAGCTCTCGCAATCGCCCGATATCCTCTGCGATCCGCGGACCACCATCGGAGAGCCGCCGCCGCAGGTCGATATAATACTCGTCCGGGACGCGCAGGAAGGACATGCCGCGCTGCCGGAGTCGGCTGACGGCCGTGACGATATCGTGCGTTCGGAATGCGATATGTTGGACCCCAGCGTCGTTGTAGAAGTCGACAAATCTGTTGGTAAATTCTTGTAAGCTTGTGGTTGCGGTCGGCAGTTTATGGGCTGGGCTAGGTACGCACTCCTCGATCTGGGACTTCTTCTTCCCCGGTGCTGGCTCGTTCATGGGCATCTTGATCACTTCATTGGGTGAGGCGACGACGATGGAGCGCATGGCCGAGTATTCTCCACACATGCTCGAGTCGTCCACGGTCCAGTACCGGTGGAAGTTGAAACAGTCTTCGTAGCTGCAGTGGTGGCGCTTAGCATGCATTCTCTCAGCATCATGCACCGGGTAGACTTACTACTTCACGATGGAGCCGACACCGTTCCAAGGCTGGTTGCCGACGCAATGGTCGATTTCGATAAAGTCGATCTGTGGAAGGAGTCGATTGATGGGGTCCTCCTCAACCACCGCCTTGTAGCCGGGGAGGAAAGGCCCTGAGTAGTGTTGCCGGCTGATCAGCGTATGCGTCGTGTCTCCATACGCCCCTACAGTAGCCACGCTGATGCTGCCACTGTCTTCGTCTGCTAAAATCTGAGGCGGCGTAATGGAAGTTGCACCGTTGCCGACCGCTCTCTTCCAGACACTCTCCACATCACCGTCGATCCTGAACGCGACATCTTTGACTCCGTCTCCGTGTTTGGTCAAATGAGCGTGGATCTCAGCTAGAGAGGGCTTCTCATCGCACTCAGACACAGCGCCCTCTGTCTCCGACGGAGTACGAACGGGCGAGGTAAGGACAAAGGTGGCGCCGTGATTGGCAACCACGTAGGACACGATATTCCGAGACCCCGTCTCGGGTCCCCGGTATGCAACATGCTCGAAGCCCAAGCGCGTGACGTAGTAGCTTGCAGCCTGCTTCGCGTTGCCAACATACCATGTGATATGGTCGAAGCCCACGTATTCTGGACCCAGGTTTGAAGGAGAGATCTCCTCCTCGGCCTGAGACAAAATAGCCATGGCAATGATACAACTCGTAGGGAGCGATTGAAGTGGGGATAGACTTTACCCGTGCACCGGTAGACAGCACGCCTCATAGTCCAGACCTTTTTTTCTTGCCCACTTTAACCCTGTCTTATATCTTTGACCGCGTGTTTGAGTTATGTCGTGAAACCCAGATCTGCTCCGATATCGCCATGATAGGATTGTATTGTCGTTGCAAGGTTTTCCCCTTCTCCCCTTGAGTTTGGACGACGACAGCAACAAGGTTCAGCCTCTGACATCTCCATGACATGCTCCCGCCAAGGCAGGTTTCATCTGAACCAGCTCTCCAGCAGCTACTGTAGCCTGGAGCAAGCCTGTGCATGTCACAAGATCACTGCACTCGTTTGTATCCTCGTTCCCCCCCCTAAAGGTCATTGACCGGCTCCGGTCGATTCTTGAAATAAATCTTGTATCGCACCACCTCGACCACCTCCAATTCGTCACTCTCGTGCCCCCCCGCGGAACCCGCCGGCGCCGGCGTCGGCCTCCGCTGCACGAGAGCCAGGGGCTTCGGCAGCTTCTTCACCTCGCCTGTTATGCGTTGGTAGCGTCCGACGTAGAGGTAGACCCGCTTCATCCAGGCCGAGTCGTCCGCGGGATTCTGGGGCGAGTAGTCCGGGAACAAGAGCTTGCCGATCGGAGTCTCGAACACGGAAGCCCCGTCGGGAGTTTCGGCGGAGTGCGAGCTTTCATCGTGGGAAGCAGGGATATTGATCGTGCCTTGAAGTTCCAAGAGCGCTAGGCCGGAGGGAGTTTGGAGGAGCTGGGGAAGAGGGTTGGGAACGCGTGAGGGAGATCGCGACGCGCGCGGGTGGAGGGTGATGGATGGCATTGTGTGATAGTGCGATAGTCAGAGTCGAAATTGGGAGCGAGGATTTGCTCCGATAGGGCGCTTGTTTAGGTTTCTGCACGGCGATGAGCAGTATGTCTGCTGGTTCTGGTGGGTTGAAAGATCAGTGTAGAGTCTCTGAAGCCGAGGTGGGAAATTAGCGCGTCGCGCATGCATTGGTCGCGCGCGCGGTATCTTATCGGTGTCCCCTTTTGATTACAGTCGTTCATCACATGAATTGATGTTAATCATGATGACGCCGCAACATCGACAGCGGTGATTTATGAATCATTGAATATCAATCCTACGAAAGAAGATATGTGTGAAAATAGGAACGGGCTCGACGAGACAAGGTGCAATCATAAGACAGAGAGTTAAAATTCCCATTTCATTCAAAACTGCTGGAGAAAATGTGCCCACGCTATGCCAGAAATCCATAAGCTGCCCAATCGTGCCCCAAATTAGGTTGAGTGCTCTTGGTACCAAAGCGAGCTGAAGTGGTATGGCTGGTGCTGTCCACGATGGATCGATCAGGCCCACCTGGCCGGGTTTGTGAGCCGAAAATAGCGAGGCGTTGCTGGATGGCTATGCAGAAAGAGTGCGATTCGATTAGTCTCTCCTTTCGCGCGGGTTTGACAGTACCGTGTCTTCGAGACACAGTGTCCCTGCAGAATAACGCAATCTGCGCTAGCAGATCCTGATTCAGAGGATGACCAGTGCTGCGGCCGATCATAGACGGCGCGCGGTTATGTTGGCGGATCTTTGAGTCGACCGACAATGTAGTGATCAGAAGTAAGAATAGAAATTGACAGATACACCGAAGTCGGAGATTATTGCCATCGGAATCATTCAGCTTTTGCGGTAGCAAGCATTCTCAAGGTTCTGGAGACCCCTTATGGCCTCGTTGACGACCTCCTCGCCTGTCATGCCCACAGGGCCTTGCATCTTGCCATACCGCAGATCACTCAAGTCACCCACCAGGCCATTGAGATCGGACAGGAGTGAGCTTGCTTCCTTATCGACTTCGGTCACCTCGTGTTCCACGTTGGAGCATGCCGTCTGCATAGCCGCGAGGAGACTCGATACTGAGTGGTAATTAGACGTAGAAGTCCGCTGCCCAAACAGCTCGACATCCATGTCCATCTCGCGCTGCTCAGCGGAGCTAATGCCATCAATGCCTGTCTTCATCAAGGATTTACGGAGCTCTGCCTTCTGGCGTTCGCCCTGAACTGCTTCCTTGTCAATGTTCTCATTGACTAGGTCCATGTCCTGCTCGCGAATCTCTTGTAGTTCACGATAGAGAACCCTGATGTGCGGGTGAGAGCGTAGTCTCTTTGGGAAGAGCTCGGTGAATTGCTGCAACGAGATGATCGTTGGCAAGGGAGCTGGGGTCAAGAGGAAATTGCTCAGAATGGCTGTCTCTGAAGGTGCCATGATGGATCGTGTTGCCTTAAGGAGCGCGGCTATCTAAAACGAGCTAGAGGTACTCAGCTCTTGCTTGCCGGCCCGAATGGCAGTTTCTTTCTCTTAGTGAAGGACGATATTTGGTGCCCACAGTGGCTGTGGTGTTATGCTTAATCGGGACAAATCGCGTTCCAAGCCAATCAGAAATTGGAGACGGCGATATAGGTGGGCGATGAAGGGGGAGAGAAGCAATTCAGGAAAAATAGATAAAAGAGTAAATGTTACTTTATTGTATGCTGTGGCTTTGGGAAGGGTTGTAAGGTTGCACGTAGGGTCATTCGTTATATCAAAGAGTAAGCGAAGGAGTGGTGGAGAGGGAAGAAGAGGAAGGGCGAATGTTCCAATTTAGGCCATCAGGCCGTGACTTGCCCTCTCGGACGCGTTTCTCTCCAGACGGTGATCCCGCGGGCTTCCTCTTTCTTGCCCCAACCGCGACATGCGATAACTAACACTCACCAACTCAATCCCTGCAGCTTGTCTTTTCCCCCAAATCTCAAGATACTTCATTCATGCCCGTAGTATATTGACTGGTGGCTTTAACTATCGCACGTGAGACATCTGACCAGCCTCCATCAAAATTCATGACATTGACCTTGACCCTAGCCATCCAAACAAACATATCTCTCTTTCTGAGGAGATCAAGACAACTCCCCAGCGGCTGAACCACTTTCAGCTTGGAGACTTGCAACTCTGACACTGATTTAACTCTTCTTGCCAAGGGGCTTTATCCGCTCAAGGAATCCAGTCAATTCGTTGCACGTGCTGTTCAGGAGCAAGAGCACTGATCGGGGCTAGAGCAAGCAGTAGCCCTGATACAGAAAAGATTTGCCTCTCGTGGATTCTCTCACAGCTTGATACAACCCAGGTATCAGTGTTCTGTGTCGTTGTCGGCAGCATCATTCTTGTGATCAAAGAATACCCCTCATCTTAAAACATCACTCACCTATCTCATCATGGCACCTGCAAGCCACATGAACTATCAGAAGGACGAGAGAGTCCTTTGTTTCCACCATGAGATTCTCTATGAAGCAAAAATTCTTGACCTGAGGCACATTGATCCGGATGACCGCAAGAGTCCGTACGAGTACCTTGTCCACTACAAGGGGTGGAAGAACACGTACGTCTTATCCTCGCCTTATCACTCGTAATCACTTCTCCTTATTGAAATCTTGTCAAAAACTTGCCCTCATGGCCTCGAAAAATGCTGTTTCCCATGTTTTCGTGTCGCTCGATGTTTTGTTACCCCATTCTCTGCAGGAGAAGGGGTTTACTTCCACCTGTGATTGTCGATGTGGCTGCTGTTACCCTGGGCCGGTGGGGCGGGATCATCAGAGCCTGGCTGACTGATATGCTGGTTTACTGCAATTAGATGGGACGATTGGGTCCCGCAAGATCGACTTCGTAAATTTACAGATGAGAATCGAGAGTTGGCCACAACTCTTCGTCGTGAGGCCGAGGCTGCGTTCCGCCAAAAGAACGTGAAACCCACTGTGAAGAAACGGGGAGGCTCCGATCGCAGTTCCGCCCGGGACAGTGAGGAGAGGCAAACTTCAGTTCCGGGCCGCGGGACGAAGAGAGCACGAGAAAATGATATTGAAAAGGTATGTTTGCTTCTATCTTTGTGTTCAGGCATAGGCTTCGCCCGTCTCGCACATTATCGCAGTGTCTAGTGACAATGTGCCCAAAGGATAAGCACATCTATGGTTGGTTTACTAACAGTGCCAATACAGGAGGAGAGCTTCTATGTCCGGCCATCAGTGCGGATTGCCATGCCCGATAATTTGAAATCTCTTCTGGTCGATGATTGGGAGAATATCACTAAGAACCAGCAAGTGGTGGCACTGCCAGCCAAATGTTCAGTTAGCCAGATTTTGGACGATTATGTCGAGGAGGAGAAGCCCAAGAGGACAAGCACGGCTGACCTAGATGTTCTTGATGAGATCGTCATGGGTATTCGCGAATACTTCTACAAGGCACTAGACAAGATCCTCCTCTATCGCTTTGAAAGGGAACAGTATCGTGTGATCCGCAAGAGGTGGGAAGATGGCAATGGGGATTGGGCCGATAAAGGTCCCCTTGAGACCTATGGCGCCGAGCATCTGACACGGCTTTTTGGTAGAGTTCACTTCCTCACAACATGCTGCGAATGCTAAACTATTGTTCTCATAGCGACTATGCCTGAGCTCATCGCCCAGACAAACATGGACGCTCAATCCACAACCAGGCTTCGGGAAGAGCTCTCTAAGTTCACACTCTGGTTGAGCCGCAATTCGGCCAAGTACTTTGCAACTAGGTACACGAATGCCAGCAACGAGTATATCGAAAAGTCGCGCGGGGCTCCAAATCCAGCTCCGGCCACCGCTACCTCGCGTCTTGTCTGATGAATTGAATATGGGAGTCCTAGCGATCTGCGGCAGTCGATCTCGTGGTGCGTTGTTGATCTTTTCGAATTCTTTTGGGGGCCAATTTTTTGTGTTGTGGACTATGGCTATGGTCGAGCACTAGTCTTGTGGCGCTCTGATGCATGCTACGATAATGCTATCACTGTAACATTAATAGGATAAAAAACCTGGCGGAAGTTTCTGGCGTCCGAATTGAGTAATAATTTGTTTCCTTACGGGCTAGGCTGGTCAACGGACATGGTATTGAAATTTGACACTGCAGAAAACGCATCAACCATTTAACCAAACTCGCGCACCATGCATACACAGCTTCTTCCGTAGGGCGGAAGGGACTTTCTGACGTAGACTTCATCCCCCCCCCCCCAAATGCTACGTAAAACAGAGCTCTTCTCTTCTACCCTCTCCACTCACTACCAAATGCACGAGTATATCTTCAACACACACACACACACATACACACCGACTCACGAATTGTCCTACGCGAATAATTGTCTAGCATCATCCACGGCGCACCGCGCCGCCCGCTTCAATTCCACCTTCCAGTCCGCCTCCCGGAACTTCTGCCACGCACTGAGACCCTCCAGCGGCGGGATACTCAGCGTCTCATACCCTTGCTTGATGATGCGATGCACCTCCCGCGGACTGAGATTCTTCTTCAGGTTCGGAGACACGGGCGCCGGGCTCTCGCCATCCGCCGCCGCACCCGCCTCGCCGCCCTTATCCGGGACAAACAGGAGGGTGTGGAAGTGCGTGGAGACGGAGATCAAGGTTTCGATCGCGGTGATGTGGACCTCGGTGCTACTGGATGAGGTGGTCGGGTCCGTCTTGGGAATGTGGCCTACCCCCACCGTCGAGTGAGGGCCGCTGATATTGCTGCTGCTGCTGCTCGTCTTGAAGGCGTACACATCGCGGAATCGGGCGATGATGGGGCCGGTCTCAACGAGCTTGTAGAAGAGGTCATCGTAGCTGGACGGGTCCGGGAGGAAGGTGTCCCCCGCGGAGACGCAGAAGGCGATCAGGTTGACCAGGGTGGTGGTGAGGGTGTGGATGTGCGGAGTGCTGGTGATGAGGTCGGCGACGTAGGTGGTCAGGAAGCGCATCAGGGAGAGTAAGGTGCGCCAGAGTTCGGACCAGTGGTAGGTGAGGCGGATCTTGTTCTTGGAGAGGTAGGTGAGGAGGCGGAGGAAGATAGCGATGCAGTGGCTGGATTTGGGTGTCAGACATTTTTGAGAAGGAGGGAGTGTGTGTTAGGTTGGGGAGATGGCGGGAAGGAGGGTTAATGGACGTACCTGTAGAGATTCACATCGAGGCGACGTCGAAGGTTATGAGTCAGGGTATCAATGAGGATGTCGAAGATGGCTGTGGTGGGGACTCGCTCGCCGGTGATGAGAGGCAGATATGGTTGCTTTTGGCGACAGAGTCGGACTTTGCGCTTGCTTTCGTCGCTGCAAAGTTGTTTGCAGAGGGCGTTGTCTTCGGATATTATGCGGAGGATCAAGAGGTTGAGCTCTGCGTAGTGGGCGGTCCGCGGTGATCGGTAGGCATGCTGCAGAAGATAGGATGTCAATGAGAGGAATGATGCGAATGGCGACTCCTCGTTGTCCTTCTCGGGGGCCAAGCTGATGAGATGAAGCCCGAAGAGTTTGTTGGCATTGATGAAGTCGTAGGTAGCTAGGAGAATGGCCGCTTGTTGCGCGGGCCTGCTTGCGTTAGCTGGTCCTTGGGACAAGAATGACGCTTGTTGAAGCTCGTACAGTGATGTAAATAACTCCTTCGCCTCCTCGGCAGTTGGTGGATTCGGCCGATCCTTCTTACTGGAAGCAAGAGCGCCCAAGCCAAAGTACATCAGCGTGCTGATCAAAGTCCAGCCCTCGGGAGAGTCGTCCTGCACGGCAACATATCCGTTTCTGAGGGCTCCACAGGAGCTACCAACTCCTCTGGCGATCTTCTGGATGCTCGCTTCATTCACAAAGTCGTCAAGCCGCAGCTGGTACGGATTCTGCATCTCGAACTTGTTGTAATTTGCTAAAAGTCCGAGAAGAAGAAACGGCTCGAATACTTGCACGGGCGTCTCCGACTCTTGTACGAACTGCGCTGCATGTCAATTTGAGTATTCCGACGGACGGAAGAGGTCATCGAACGAACCTTCATGATTGAAGGGAATAGGTCACGATGCGTGAGATATGAGACGAGGCTGGTCTTATATGCGCCAGCAGTCATTGCAATAGCAGTCTTGATGGCCTGGAGCCGTAGCGCATCTGAATGACTAGTCAGCGCTTGACCACAACTCTTCCACTACGCTAGGAGCTCACAGGTTTTGCCATTGCGAATGATCCCATCCAAGACAGCGACGAAGTTGAAAATTGCATGGTCAACATTGTCGAGACCGGCGAGAACGGTGATCACATCTGAGCTGGGATTGGTGTATTTCTTCTTCAAGACACAGGCTAGAAAGACCGTCAAGGTCTATTGTCTGCTTAGAGTTGGGAGTTCAGCTTCGAAGGAATGTTGACCCACCTCAAGAGCATACGAATCAACGGGACTGGACCCCGATTCAGCTTCACTTATGGCACGAGTGAAAAGCTGCTGGGTTTGAGCCTGCTAAAGAGTGAGCGATGGTCATTCTACACTTCAAACTCATAATCACGTGGGCCATTGACCTGCAGATTCAGGGTTTCATCAGGACTGAGCTGATTTAGTAGTGCATTGAGCTGGCTCCTATCCGGTGGCAGCAAAAAGAATTCTCTCCAGAAACCCTCCGAGGGCTCTGCAAAATCCGTGGTCTAGCAGATTGGTCAGATTTATGTGATGTAGAAACATAGGTTGATGTACATACCTGGAATAGGTTCTCGTATAGTTGCACGATCTTCGGTTTGAAGGTTTCCGGTCTACTTTGCTGGGTCAAAGGGGAATCCATTATGCTTAAAGATTGAGTTGGACGATCGGCACAGAACACAAGATCATGGCCAATATTGTAGATAAGAGCAGAGAAGTCAAGGCTGACCTAAATGCCTGGCGGACGAGGAGGATGTTATTGACATCCTATGCTTTGAGGGGGAAATTCAGCGGTCGTCGCCTTATTCGACACCACTCTTTTTCTGCCTTTTTAGGCCATCAATCCCCACCACCTGGTTGGCACCACTACAAGCCACATCCCCTATCTCTCCCTCCATCTTTCCACGAGCCTGTCCATGTTTCAAGGAGAGATCAAATCAAAACACCGCTACAACAATGTTCAGAAGCACCTTTTCATTTGAAATCTTCTCATCCATTAATTAAAACTCCTTGTCCCAATCTATAGAAGATAGCTACGAGAACATCTGCTTGTTGCCGATGACATAATCAGGGGATGTGCGACCTACGAGTAAGTTTGACCATGTGGCATCTTCATGAAATAAACCGTCAAGGAGGGTCCAGAGATTATGACCAGGTTTGAGGAAAGGTTGGTGGTGGTGAGAACATAGCCTACTGCCCGTGTAGCAGCCCTGCCGAGGAAGGTTAACCTGGACATACATTCTTGATCACCTTTGAATTATTTCGGCCTAAACATAGCTTAACTTACAATATGATAGGACTCCTGTAAATTGATGTTTGTCGAATGCGGAAGAAAGCAGTTAGTCATCTGATTCTAAGTTGACACCTGAGGTGCTCAGGTATCAAATCATGACTAAGAAACCCATGTCCAATGGCAGGGCAGTGAATTCATGCGTTGTGTGAATGACGGGGAATGAAGCAAATCATGATAAACGGAGAACAAACAAATGAACATGCCACTTAAAACCAGCCACTAAGGAATGGTAATCATTAGTTATTGGGTCTTACCCCAGTCGCACTCTAATGGATTTACTCAGGCTTAATTCCTCATTTTCTAGTCTAGAACAGCAGAGTGCAGTGGCGCCACTTGACCTGTGTAGAAACACCTCAATGCTGATTGGCCGATACGGACCTGGCCCTGACCTCTTTTAACCGACTCAGGACCCGACCCGGCGTTCTTCCGCCTCCCCCAAACAGAACTCGATCTTTCCCGACTCACCTCCATCCTCCTCCTCGCATCCTCTATCACAATCACTACCGTGACCCAACAACCGTTTAGACTCCGTGGAAAATTAGCTATACGCTGTTCCTGTCGCTTCATAGATCATCTGCTATCGATTTTCAAATCACCGCCTCGTTTTACCACAGTCACGATGCAGTCTCCAGTGACATCATCCGCCACGCTGCTCAGCTTGTTGAGACAGTCATCGAGCAGACGCACAGCGCAGACATGCCGTCTTTTCTCCTCCTATGGAAACTCACAGCGCTCTTCTTCGAAGCGTGAGTTGCAGACTGCTACCGCATACCGTCCACACAGTCTGCCCACTTCCTTCCCGCCACCTCGGAGCCCGGGGTCGTCCGACACCTCCATTGCCGCAGACTTCCCCTCCTTCCGCGAGATGACCTCGCCTCAACTTCCTGGCCAACAAGCCTATTCTCCAAACATCAACCTCCAAGAAGCCGAATCACAGAAGTCCAAGCCTGTCGAGACCTCTCCCGCCACTACCGCTAAGCCCGCCGAGAAGCCCCGCAGAAAACTTCGCGCCCGCAAGGCTGCTATGAAAGTGACCCCGGTGGCCATCGAGCAACTTCGTAAACTCTTGTCCCAGCCAGAACCCAAGCTGATCCGCGTGGGAGTCAAGAACCGAGGCTGCTCTGGCCTCGCCTACCACTTGGAGTACGTGGAGAAGCCGGGCACTTTCGACGAGGTCGTGGAGCAAGACGGTGTCAAGGTCTTGATCGACAGCAAGGCTCTCTTCAGCATAATCGGAAGTGAGATGGACTGGCAAGAGGACAAGCTCAGCAGGAAATTCGTCTTCCGCAACCCCAATATTAGTAAGCATAACCTGGTCTCACCGGACAACCGCACGGAGCGCATACTAACAATTCTCCCCAGAGGAACAATGCGGATGCGGTGAATCCTTCATGGTATAAGTCGCTGATCTGCGCTTCCATACGACTTTGTTATTCAATAATTGGATGAACTGGGTTTTGGGTTTCTACATGCATCGAATGGCGTTCTGTGGGCGGTCTTCTTTGGCGAATGAGCTTCTTCCTTCTTTTCTTGAACATACACTCTGATTCCCGGGCACATAGCCCACCAACTGTGCAATATATTCTTTCCTCTCTTTTCACATGTGGATGATAACACCTAACAACTCTGCTGATCAGACTGCGCCATCGCACATGGCAATATGTGGTGGTCCAGTCATTCTCAATACATATAATTGGGAAAGACATTTCGAACAGTTATACCTCCAACTTGAGTTAGGTGTGCTGAAGAAAGCTGGGTTGGTCACATAGCCTAGCTGTCGGTAGCACGATAACAAAGACAATTTACTCATAATCTCCATATGTGCCCTTGTTAACGATGTTCACGCAAGCAACTATGTTTTATTAAAAGTATCCAGAAACAGTCTAGGCGCGCGTAAATCAATCTAACGTGCATTAATTCGAATTTGACGCAGGTAAAACCACTGAGTTGCTGGGAGTAAAAACTGGTACCCGGGGTAACAAGCTCAGGGTCAAGCACTGCTTAGCCTGTGCTAGTCTTGTGGCTTCAGCATGACGCCGTCGTCCTATTCCCAGGTTTTATACATAACACTAGACTCAGAAAGGGTCAGGTGCGTTGCTCAGGCTGCAAGATGATCGATGATAGACAAGGGAAAAGCAGTAACGACGTATCACGTGGGGATAGCATTTCGGACAATCAGCCCCATTTCTCCGCTTTATCAGCTTATCGACGCTCCCCTTTTCGTTCCTTCATCCCGCATCACCTGTGACGCACGGCCGTATCACTTGCTTCCCTCTACAACAACACCTCCATTTCGAAAAAAGAAAAAAAAAGCACAATGTCGACGCCGACATTTCTCACTCCTGATCGCACGCTCGACCTCAATAATTCCACCCAACCCCCTCTTTACGTCATCATTCGCTTCTCAGCCTCTATCCCCGACCTCCCCCTCGACATCTTCTCCCCAGAGACCACCACATCCGCCGGTCTGAAACAGCTCATCCGCACACGTCTGCCCCCAAATCTCTCGTCCCACCGTCTCCGTCTAATCTACGCCGGTCGTGGCCTCGAGGATGCCAACCCGCTCGCCGCATCCCTCAAACTCCCGCCCTCGTCTTCCGCCCGCTCCACCCCGCGGCCCCCGGAGGACGACGAATCCACCACCACCGCGAAGGGCAAGGGCAAGGCCCCCGTGCGCGATCAACCCCGCCTGTATATCCACTGCTCCATCGGCGAAATCGTCCTCTCTCCCACTGACCTCGCCGCCGAAGCGGCCATCGCGTCCACCCTCCGGCAACCGCAGGACTCAGATTCGGAAAATCAGGACAGTCACAATGGATCGCCATCTGGCTCTCGGCGTAGGAATCAGGGGCCCGCGCCTTCGGTAGTGGACTCCGGCGCGGCGACCACCACGACTCCCGCGCCCCGCGGATTCGACCGGCTGCTGGCGGCGGGGTTCACGCCCGCGGAGGTGACGGCGCTGCGGTCCCAGTTCATGGCCATCCAGGCGGTTTCGCGCACGCCGGATACGATGCCCAGCGGGGCGGAGTTGCGCGAGATGGAGGATCGGTGGATGGATGAGGGGTCGTCGGCTGTGGCGGCCGGGGGAGGAGTCGCTGGTGGTGGTGGTGGTGGTACTGCTGGGGAGGGGATCTCGTTTGCGGACGACGATGGTGGGTTTGGGCCTGGGTCGCGGGGCGCGATGGACGATATGCTTTGGGGGGCGGTGATGGGGTTCTTCTGGCCGGTGGGCTGTGCGATGTGGTTGCGGCGAGAGGAAGGGGTCTGGAGTTGGCGGAAGGGGTTTGCGGTGTTTGTGGGGGTGGTGGTTAACGTTGCCTTTGGCGCGATGCGGATCATGAATTAGTTGTTCTGGATGGTGTTCTGTTTTTCGCTTTTCTGGTCTACTTGAGCGGGATACCCTATTGTGTTTTTTTTTCTTTCTTCTTCATTATTTAGGTTGGAGTTATTCAATGCGTTTCATGTAGTGCTGGGCACAATGGTCTTGGATTAGAGCTGGAAGAGTGCTATCATACAAAATTCCGTGGAGGAGTCTGCTAATGCAGACGTGTATATGTCGTTAACAAAGTGCTACAAAGGAAAAAAGATGGTCATCCCATGGTAACGCCCGCTGGAAAACCACGCTCAGTGGAACTTGCTGTAGATCACAGCGAAAATCAAAAGAATCAACACAGTAATGATTGCAATGGTAATCAGCCGATTCGTAGCCATCCTATATGATGCAAGTTAGCATCTGATCCGTGCGCAAATGATTGCAGCAATTGCATTGCTGCGGGGGGTTCGGCAGAAGGGGCCAGTACCTACGGGCCATGCCCCTCAATGTCTTGATACTGGTATCCACATAGCCTTCACTCTCCAACAAGCGACCTCGAGCATTGATGATGGTCTCCCGCTGCTGGTTCAGATCCGCCAGCGTGTTGCGGCCAATGTCCTCCGTCTCGAGCGCGATGCGCTGACTCTCCTGGAGCCGGGCGGAACTGCGCTCCAGGCGCTCTGTACCAGACAGAAGTTGCTGGCGCTGTTCCAGATGCTCGTCCTGCGGGTCATCCGTGTACCGGTCGCCGAAGAGGGCTTTGCGGTCGTCCGACAGAGACCGCAGCTTGCGCTTGGCCTCATCAATGTCTGTCGCGTAGTTGCGGACCCGGGTGTTGATTTTCGATCGGGCGGAGGAGGGGATGTTCTGTTTCTCCATGCGCATCTGATCCAACTGTGTTTCGATGAGGGGAAGGTTAGATTGAGGGGTTGAGATGTATCGCGCAAGGGACAGGCGTCCGGCAACGCACCAATTCCGTGGCCTCATCCAGTGCTCTTTCCGCTTGCCGGATGGCAGACTTGCGTTGCTCACCGCTCGACTCGGAGATCTGATCTAGCTTCTGGTTGAGGTCGGCCTGGACCAGCTTCAACTCGGTCTCGTAGCTGCTGAACAGCTCGGAGCCGGCATCGGTGTCCAACGGGTTCGACATGGTGGTATGGGTGTGAAATGACACTGTTTGAGGTGTTGGCTATGGCGAGTCTCCTCGAGATAGTCAATCGAGGCTTGTTGAAGTAGCGGATAAGGCGGAGAGATTGGCCACTTGTATCCT